AAGCGGCCCGGCCAAGTAAGCCGAGGGAGGGCAGGTCAAGGCAGTAGGCAAAGCGATGGACATCCATCAGACTCGGCTTCAACAAAGTCGTCACCGCTGTCGATTGATCTTGAGCGACATGGAAGAGATCTTGTGCGACTTGAGACTTCCAGTCTTGCCTTGGTCAGATTCAATAACTGAGAGGATGAACTGATAGACTCGATAAGATAGATTCTTTTCTGCCGGGCGGTACATTAATATTTTTTACCACGTGACTTAACTGCACTGCTGGCGCCTATGGTTGTCCGGAGTTCGATGCGGGCTCCAACAAAGCCCAAAAGTGGGTTTTGAACCGCCACAAAGTGATTTGAGATTGTCGAAGAACTCGCCTGCTGCCGCACCTCCTCTTCCCTCTGCACCTGTCGCGCACCTTCGAGCTTCTAATAGGAGCTATCAGAGAAAAGTTTCTCCGCGCTCCTTATTTACCTCTAAGCCTCAAACTCCTTGTCGAATCCGGCCTAATATCAGGCGCAGCCCCGCCAAAATGTCGTTAACAAATTGTCGTTTCTACGAGGACAAGTATCCGGAGGTTGACAGCTATGTCATGGTCAATGTCAAGCAGGTATGCGACTGTTTTTATGGTCATTGTAGTTCTCTTGAAGAATCTCTGGCTAATCCCTCTGTTTCCATTTTGCAGATCGCCGAAATGGGCGCATACGTGAAGCTCCTCGAATATGACAACATTGATGGCATGATCCTGCTGTCTGAACTGTCGCGGAGACGTATTCGTAGTATCCAGAAGCTCATTCGCATTGGCCGCAACGAGGTGGTCATCGTGCTTCGTGTTGACAAGGAGAAGGGCAAGTGTGGCCGATTCTGAACGTGCTCGAGACCCTCCGTCTAACCGGTTTCGTTTGTGTACAGGTTACATCGATCTCTCCAAGCGTCGAGTTTCCCCCGAAGATGTCGTCAAGTGTGAAGAGAGGTACAACAAGAGCAAGGCGGTTCACTCCATCATGCGCCATGTTGCCGAAGCCACTCAGACTCCCCTTGAGGAGTTGTACCAGAAGATCGGATGGCCACTGAACCGGAAATACGGCCATGCTCACGATGCCTTCAAGATCTCCATCACGTAGGATCAATCATCCATCTATATTTTTCGACCCTATGACTCATATTATCAATAGGAACTCCGACGTGTGGCAGGATGTGGAATTCCCCAGCGAAGCTGTCAAGAAGGAGCTGACACAGTACATCAGCAAGAAGCTGACTCCCTCCCCGACTAAAGTTCGTGCTGATATCGAAGTCACCTGCTTCGGCTATGAAGGAATCGACGCCGTCAAGACCGCTCTTCGCACTGCCGAGGCGAACAACACTCCCGAGAACCAGATCAAGGTCAAGCTGGTCGCTCCTCCCCTGTACGTCCTGACCAGCCAGTGCTTGGATAAGAACTTGGGTATCAAGTTGCTCGAGGAGGCTATCGAGAGGATCGATAGCGACATCAAGAAAGCCGGGGGTGGCTGTGTCGTCAAGATGCCGCCCAAGGCTGTCACCGAGCACGACGACGCTGCTCTCCAGGAGCTCATGGACAAGCGGGAGCGTGAGAACATGGAAGTCAGTGGCGATGAGAGCATGTCCGAAAGCGACGAGGGTGTCCCTGAATAAATTCTCGATGCTGCGCCTCTTTAGTCACGACTCCTTGGGCCAATGGGCCCTTTGCAAATGACAGAACCTCCATTTTTCTTGCATACGTTGGGAATTGGGCTGGTGCCACAAGAGAGAGACGGTTGTTTCAGCGTTGGGTCAGAGAAGGGGGGCAAGAAAAAAAGTTTCTGATAGAAGGGCTTCGGTTATGACACGAATTACGAGACAGAAGACGGGTTTAATGTGCTCACGAGCGGGATAGGGCTAAGCAGCAATGTCTCAAAAAAGGGTTCAGACTGGACTTAGTTGACGCTGAGAACAGTACACCCGTGGGAGGATCTGCTGCCGCACTGCTTCCTGTGCCGTGGCGATGTGTCCATATCACTCAGATTTGCGTTGATGACTGAGCTCTGGTCACAGTTCTGGGACAGCTCTATCTCTTGATTTGATGTACATAAGTTCATATCTAAGTGCCAACTGCAAGAGTACGTTCTAGACTACGAAGACTATTTCTGAAAGGCAAACGTAGGATCGATCTGACTGGGCTCACCAATCATCTATAGTTGTAGTACTAGGCTGCACGAGAGACTGGCCATAGATCGTTGATAAAGTTGTGATGTTTTGAAGTTCCGGATAGATCAGTGGTGGTGGCTGGGGATGGCGGGGATCGTAGCGCGGGAACCGAATCTTGCTCGAAGTTTGATTCTCCATTGCTTTTTCTTTCGTTCCAATGCAGGTATACTGCTCTTCGGAAATCCTGGACTGTAGAATCACAGCCCACAGCATTCAGTATGGGGTACTGGGAAGACATCTTCAGCTCTGGAAGTCGAACTCACCATCGCCGTCTCCCAGAACGGCGGCGTTGTACGTCATCACCAACGGCTGGGCCTGGTCTCCGGCCAGCATTGCGCATCTCTGAAGCTAACACTGCAAATAGTGCTTCCAKCTTACAGGGCTGACCAGGCTACTTCTGTCAGCCCTGCCAAGGAGGTGACGAAGGTTGCTCTGCGGCTGAAATATCAGATCGAACAGGTCATTCCGTTCGAGATCGACGAGGGTTCTATCACCAAGCCTAACAGCCGAATCATCACCGACGATGTGATCCAGACTGCCAAGCAGGCAGGTGGTGATGATCACAGAGCTTGTGTGCTGTACTGTCTCCTTGTTTGTCTACGGTGGTTCAAGCTCCAGGCAGAATCCGAACTCTGGGAATCTGATCTGCACCTTCGTCGCGCGCTGGCATGTGAGATCATTGCGAAGCGCATGTAAGAAAAGCCATCTCAAACACCTCTGAAAAGGCTTAATGTTAATCAAGGCTTTCAGAATCGAGTCCGAGGAGGACCAGGACTCCCTCATGAAGGACGCCCTGTTACAGAGGTACTCCATCTTCTTGGACGGAGAACCAACTGCACCAGCCAACGTTATTGAGCGGGCCGTGGATCTGCATGCTCTGAGAGTCATAGGTTCTTCGGGATACCAAAAATGTATCAAGTATCTCTGGCGTGGTTGGTTCTGTCAAGAAGAGGGTAACCCGACCAATTTCGTTCCCTACCATGACAAAGACAACACAGACTTCAAGATTCATTTCCATCCTGACCGCATGAGGACTCCTTTCTATCAGAACGCATGTCAGATATTTTTCTCGTTGATATACCTCATCCTATATACCATCGTCATCAATACCGTCAACTCTACCGGAGATTTGGACGTTGTCGAAGGAATCCTCTATGTCATGACTCTGTCCTACATCTGCGACGAGCTCACCAAACTCTGGAAGGTTGGAAGGGACTACATCGACTTTTGGAACGCATTCAACTCGACCCTTTACACCATCCTCGCGGTGTCATTCTTCCTCCGTGTCGCCGCCCTTACGCGATCGAGCTCCGTCGACGACGAACAGAGGAGAACACTCAACCAGCTGAGCTACAATTTCCTGGCCATGGCAGGTCCGATGTTTTGGATGCGTATGATGCTCTACCTCGATTCAGTCAAATTCTTCGGCGCCATGTTCGTTGTGCTGAGAGTCATGATGAAGGAGAGCTTGATCTTCTTTGCCCTTCTTTTTGTCATTATTGTCGGGTTCTTCCAGGCGTTTTACGGCATGGCCCAGGCAGACGGCGAACTTGCCCTTACCAGGGGTATTATACAAGGCATGGCGAACAGTGTCATGCAGAGCCCGGATTTCGGCGTATTCGTGGAACTGGCGTTCCCATTTGGTCTCGTCCTCTACTATTTGTACAATTTCATTGTCATGATTGGTAAGTCGGTCGGCTCGCAGCACGACCGGAAAGCGTTTTACTGATGGGAAGTAGTTTTGCTCAACATATTGATTGCACTCTACAATAGCGCTTATGCGGATATCGCCGGCAACGCTGTGGACGAGTACATGGCGATCTTCGCTCTGAAGACAATGCAGTTTGTTCGGGCGCCAGACGAAAACGTCTTCATTCCTCGTGAGTCCTCCTATTCTGCTGCAGACACCGCATTAACTAACGGCGAGCCTACTAGCGTTCAACCTACTCGAAATCTTCTTTCTGGTCCTCCCTTTCGAGTGGTGGATGCCGCGCGAGTACTATGCCAAGCTAAACGATGTCATCATGAGTATCATCTACTCACCACTCTTACTCATCGTCGCGACGATAGAGACCCGCGAGGCACGCCAGATCCGGTGGAATCGGCGCCAGGGAGAAGAGGATGATGATGTTGTTCAGGAGTGGGAGGATGTTGCTGAGGAAGTTGACTTTGACGTGGACGACACCTGGAGACAGGCCGTGCGGGAAACCATCCCAGATCCGAATGCAGAGAACTGTACTTTGGAGATCATACAGCTGCGGGAGCAGATCAAGGAACTCACAGCTGTGGTTCATGCGTTCATGGAGAAGAAGGATACGGCGGAGCACATGAGGGAGCAATCAAGTTCCAATCAAGCTGACGAGGAGTAGGATCTATGGCATAGGATAGTTGTATTTGGTTGTGACTTTATCGAAACTTTGTTGGTGCCTTTGTTGATATGATGATGATCTCATCGTGATTTATATTAGTTGACTGTGTGGTATGCTTTTCATACCTGGCTTCATAAGATGACCTAATTCATCTCTACAAACTCTGTGATTCACGACGAAAGCTTAAGATATTCAACTCATGTTGACGTGTGTTTGTATTCTCCTGAGCAAGTGGATTGATTACGTGGCTGTCCCTGGACCATGTCCCCGCACCTCCTCTAAATCAACGACAAACGCTTCTTCAACCTTTTCCGCCTTAGACATCAACACAGTCAATCTACTCTTGTAACATGCGGGGTGCCATCAACCACAAGACCGCTAAAGGGCAGAGTCTTGGAGAAACTTGCAATAAACAGCTGGATTCCATGCAACAGCATGACTGACAACTCCCCCACCTTGCTGTATGCAGGAGAACATTTGGATACTGTTGCAGGATTCCCAACACTCTACACCTTCAGTCCCGCAAATCGCGACAATCCTCTGATTGTGTTCATACCGGGTGGCGGTCATAATGCTCGCATCTCATATGGCGGCCATCCCGGAAGTCGCAGGGAGGACTTCCTAGCACACTGGGTAAACAAACTGGGCCACGGCCTACTTGCCATCTCATACCCGCTCCAGAGCCAGCCGAACGAGATCATGGCTGCAACAGCACCAGTATTTCGTATTCGTGATTGGGGTCTGCAAGCAGCGGAGGTAACGAAGATGGTGATCGAGAGGCATCGCCTGTCGCCCAAGGTCGTGCTTGTCGCTTGGAGTATGGGCGGCCGGGTAGTGGTTCCGTACATACAAGCAGCAAAGGCACGGGGGCTAACAGTTGAGCTATTCGTGAGTCTCGCGGCTACTCCTGGACTCGCTGGTTCTCGGCCCATTCCCGCTGGTATCAAAAAGACGTCGGAGGGGTATGCTGCATTGGACAGGATGTCGGAGCTTTTCCTGGACCAGATCCATGAGCAGAATCGGCTGAACTCCCGTGTCATTATTCCGGACGATGTGTATCTACGCGGCTACTACGGGCATACGCCTGTCGGCTTGCTCGGCTGGGGCTTGAGCTATTCCCCGGAGCGCGGATTTGTTGAAGATCGATATACTTCAACGGAAGATGCCGACGCGAACAATTTTCGCCAATGGCCTTTGATTTCTGCTCTGCACGGTGACAGCATACTGGATGGACGGCATGTACTTGCGGACAAGGCAACTTGGGCATTCATGCAGGTGCAGCAGCTCGTGAGTGCTCTCGAAGGTCGAGGCTATAGATCGCTGAGCTCTCAGCGCTGGGAGGAGGTCGTCAAGCTGGTCCACTCACGGCCGGAGAATATGTGCCGGCAGATCCATGGTAATCACTTTTTCTTTCTGGGCGAGCAGGGCGCTCGTGATACGGCGGCTGCGATCGTTGAATCTGAGGGACGCTCGGATCTTCATGTCCACTCTTGACTCTCTGCTTGTGTCTTGAGGTCACTTGACAGCAATTTTTTTGTTCATTTAGGACGTTCCTTGACTGCAATCGCCTCTGTTTCCTGTCAGGGACTGGCCCCTTTGAGCATGAACTACGAGGTCGAGGTCGACGGAAATACGGAGTACTTGTTCTGTTTCGGTCTAGAGTTGCTGTATCGGATGTCTGCAGCTGGGCTTGTTTGCAGACAATTACGATACCTCAGCAATAGCGCAGCCACGCGTTGGCAGCGGTCGTTGGATGCTGGTAGTCATGACAAGAGGGAAGGAAAAATGTTGCGGAGCAAAAAGAAAGCCGAACGCGGGGGTCGAACCCGCAACCTTGAGATTAAGAGTCTCACGCTCTACCGATTGAGCTAGCCCGGCCGCTGTTGTTAATGCCGGCTCTGTTTTTGCCACACAAGGAAATGGTAGCCGTAGTCTATCTTTGTAGTTTAGGCCAACTACTACCCTTACAGTTTGATAGCGGTAGGTAGGGTACTATAACATCATCCACTATGAACAATACGTTACCTATGTAAAGCATTTATATTTCACTCTCTGGTTGCACTTGCTGCGCCCAAGAAATACCAATTCTGAGTCGAACACAGAAAATTGAGTCCAACCCTAAGTAGCGATATTCATCTAATCCCATGCCCTACCTAGTCTTGTAGTCTACAGACTTCGTGGAAAAAGGGATCTACATCCTTGACACCAAGTGAGGGCTGTATAATATGGCTCGCCAGGCTCATTTATTCCACGAGGCATACAGTTTTTCGTACGCTCTGAGAATCCTCTAGACTGCTTGGATAAATATTGACATGGCGAGGATAGAGCCATCCGAGAGACTGGCTCTCATTCGAGAGAATCTTGCCGAGTCTTGAACTTCAGATGAGAAGATCCTCGCTGAAGGGAACAGCCCGAGGATATACTGGGGTGTGTCACTCAGATTCCTTTTGGCCTAATGACACTGTAGGAGAGCTGCACTGATACTCACCATGTTAGGTACCGCGACAACCAGCTGTCCGCACTATGCCTACTTCGTCCCAGCCGTTAAAATGGCCCAGCCGAACTAACGGTGCTACTGGCCGATATCCACTCGTTCCTTGACAACCTGAAAGCCCCGATTGAGCTGGTGGAGCGGGGGGTCGGGTTGTACCCGTACACCGTCACAGCCATTCGTCGAGCAGTGGGCGTTTCTACCGAGAAGCTCAAGTTCGTGCCTGGAAGCCTCTATCAGAGAAGCCCCCAGTATATCTTGGATATGTATAGGCTTGGCTCAATCATTGAGTCATATCCGAGCATGATGCGAAGCGCGGGTGCGGAAATCGTCAAACAAACGATAATGCTCCCCTGAATGGTCTCCTTTACCCCGTTCCCCAGGTGCTGGACGAGCAGTATTTGGATGTTGACGTTCAGTTTGGAGGTAGATAGTTCCTAGACTGAAGGCCAATAAGCTAACCAGACGTGTAGGTCTGGACCAGCGCAAGCTGTTCATCGCGGCAACTGAGTGGTTGCTAAAGCTGTATAAACAGGTCTGCACACCGCAAGTGTCTAAATCGGTTTATACTAACAGCCCTAGCGCGCACATATCAGGAACCCGATGGTTCCTGGGTTACAAAGCGGTAAAATGAGCTCGAGTTGACCCTGGTAAGAAAGTCCATGGCTCGTGCGAGACATCTTGTGCTGAGGATCAAAAGACAGCAAAATCGATCTCGATCCCCCCGAGGTCGTGAGTAAGAAGATTTCATAAAGCCATTGCAATACCCCGAGCTGTTGAGGGGAACGGAATTCTGGCTTTTGTTGAGCACGTTCTGCTGCCGGCGTCGAGCTTGCGAGGACGCAGAGAATTCCGCGTAGACAGGGAACAAGATGGTTTGGAGTCTCTGGTTTATTCTACGGTTGACCAGATGCATGATGATTACCGCAAACGATGTGGTATGGCCTTTGTCATCCTTATGCAGGGATTGCACCAGCAGTTCTGACCGGTTCTATAGTTGACCCTCAGCTTCTCAAATCAGCCGTAGCTAAGGGATTGAATGCTCTATTGGCTCCAATCCAAGAAGCATACCAGGCTTCCAAAGAATGGCAGGAGATTGCCCTGCAAACATAGCCGCCTCCAACAAAGAAGGAGAAGAGGGTCATGGACTGTACCTCGCTTCAAAGTAGAAGAAGACTAGCAGCAGAGAAGGAACAGCCTTTGGGAATGGATGCTACAATCATCGTTCTAGAGAAACAGTAGTATTTATATTCCACTGCACTCGATTGTGGACGCAAATGGGAGCTGAACATCTCCACTCAAGCTGCAGATACGGATTCCTCGGCGACAACACACGACTGTTGAGGGTGGCTAGCTGAAAGCATTAAAGCAAACATTCTTATGCAAACTCAGCCAGCCTCATGAGATCTCGTTGTTTCCTTGCTGGTAAAGATAAAATATGCTCTTACTAGATGAGGGATCTGGGCTAATGCGGACGATAGCAGGCCAATGTGGTATAGGAGCTGAAATGATCCACTGCTACGACCAAAAAGCAGATATAAAGCGACTTGGTATTATGATCCCTTATCCAATCAAGACAAGGCCACAAGAGGGGTTCTCTCACGCGCATATATAAGGAGCCACATTATTCTGAACCGAGCTGGCATATCAGTTTCTCCTGCATGCTTGGATCAAGAGACTCTGGCCCATCATGTCCAAACCTAATGTTTTCTTTGACATATCTGTTGACGGGCGTAAGTTCCTCGCATTACTGGGATTCCGTTTCTCCTCTTAACTTGGTCCCTTTAGGACCTTTTGGTCGCGTCGTATTCAAGCTATTTGACGATGTCGTCCCAAAGACTGCAAGGAATTTCCGCGAGTTGAGCACGGGTCAGCATGGCTTCGGCTACAAAGGCTCTCCATTCCATCTTGTGATTCCTAATTTCATGCTCCAAGAAGGTGATTTTACAAAGGGCAACGTGAGTCCAGCTTCGACTACAGTGATATTAACTAAGGACATTCTGTAGGGAACTGGTGGCAAATCCCTCTATGGAGACCATTTCGCAGATGAGAATTTCAAGTTGAAACATGACAGATCTGGTCTCTTATCCATGGCCAACGCAGGGAAGATACGAATGGGTCTCAATTTTTCATCACGGTGAGTTTGGATTGCTCGGTTATTCCATTTCACCCAAATTGCTGATAAACATTGGGAAGTAGCCTGAGGGTTGCTAGATGCTCAGGGCTATCAATAGCAATAGCCTGACCTCGGCAACTTCACTGGCAACTTCCACTGGCCACTCTGTCTGAACGACTCTTAGAACATGTTTGGATGCTCTGAATTTATATCACTTGATTGTTGGATTCTAGATTGTGGTTGTGGTGGTGTGCAGAAAGTCAGCTTGTAATGGTCTTATACTTGGATAAAAGTATGAGCGCTCAGAGGGTCAATAGGAATTTACTCATATAACACAAGCTGGTGAGTGCTTGCTCTGCTCGCGTCTTGAGGTTCGGACCTTCGGCCCTCACCTTAACTAATATTAATCCTTTAAGGCGTAACCCTTTATATACAGCCTTAGTAGCCTGTAATAGGGGTAATAGTATATTATAAGGGTCAGGAGGTACAGTATCTGTATAAGGGTAGCCCTAAATAAGGGGTAGATATACTGGTAAAGGGCCTGAGGCTGTGGCTTTAGAAGGGTAGAAGCTTCAGGGCCTTAAGAAAGTGGCAGAGAATAACATAGAGAATTTAGGCCTGAGAGGGGAGGCATCAAGGCTAAACTAAAAGAGGTAATTTTAGGACTGAATTACAGCTGATTATTAAGTGATTATTAAGTGATTATTAAGCTGGGACCCACCCTTATTGGCTTATGATAATAGTAGATATAGTGTCTCTGCCTTTCAACAAGAGCAGCCGGGCTAGCTCAATCGGTAGAGCGTGAGACTCTTAATCTCAAGGTTGCGGGTTCGACCCCCGCGTTCGGCTTTTTCTTTTTTGAATGCAAAATTGTTTCGATCCTAATATATGCTGCGAATTATCAACAGTATTCGGTACGCGCGATGTGGGTGTATCTCAGGGAATGTCATGACAGTATGGTTTAGTAGTTTGGACGTCACACTACAGTGGGAACCTCAGAACCTTAATTGCTGGCTTTTATAATCTCAGATCCATAGATTAATGGATCAAGATCTCTAACTCCCAAAAATTATTCTGCCAAGCCTACCTGGATCTTCAAGGTGGCGCTCAAGTCTCAGCTATACCCCTTCTCTATACAATATACTGAGCAATGTATTAATCTAGCGCATGGCGATTTTCTCTCTCTTAGTATTTACTACTATCATCTCGCAGTTGTAAGCTCAGTCATTCATTTACTAACTCTTTACGTTTACTTTTGTTAATATATCTATAGGAAACCACACTAACTGACCAACTTGGAAAATTACGGATCACAAGTCCAGTAAGACATTCAGCAGAACATTCAGCAGAAAGGAATATAATGCGTATGCGAACCCAGCCGGCGCTAGCTCAGATAAGCTACAGGAGGACAAGAGTTTTATAGCGTGGTGTGTAAGCAGGGACTGCTGGAGCTTGAAGCATTAGAAAAACCTCTCCAGAGTTCTTTCTCTTGATACCGATAGGCCACCCTTACTGGAGGGAGATGGTTGGTACGTCTGTGGCCAGCACTGTGATTCCGAAGGGTGCACTCCAATTTATTGTCGGGTTACCAAGTAGCCTTCAATCAATGGGTTAAATAGTTTGGTCGACGAGCGTACTACTGGGATAAGACTCTCATGGTAGATGGGTTGTATAGTAGTCTATGTAGTTTCGAATGAGCATCTCATCTTTGCGAGGATAGTTACGGTAGTAGGGCCAAGGATCCACAATAATCAACCTGTTGCAGCCTGCAGCTGTTTATTCGTCGGGCTTGGTTCTTGCCTGCAGGAACAACTATCGATTTGACTCAGCTCTAGGACTAGTTATTCACAGATGAGCCTCCTATTCTAGGCTACTTGTAATGCGCATGACATCCCTTATGCTTGTGTCCATGGTGGTGGCGATGGTGTCCAGAAGCCGCAGGAGTACTCGTTCCGGGAGAAGAGGACTGAGGCACAGAAGGAGTACTGCTGCCAGCAATACTCGTAGGCTCAGCTGATGCCGAGGTTGACTTTGCGCCAGAGGATACCGCGGTAGGACTAGAAGCAGGCGGACTCTGGTATAGCGCCATGGTCGCTTTACCAGACGACGGAGGGGCAGCCGGTGTGCTCGCCCCAGAACTTGCAGCCGCAACATCCGACTCATCCAGGCGATGCAGCAACGATCCCCAGCCGAGTCCATCATAATGACCCGACCCCTCGCCCCAGGACCCTGCGCCGCCCTCTGCGCCGCGAAAAAAGGTCAGAGACTGGTTAAGGAACGAGGTCGTCCAGGGTGCATCCATTCCTTTGATCATCACGTAGTGGCTATGCAGCAGCTCCCAGGTAGGTCGCATTGCGCCGCGAGAGACACTGCTGATTTCCGTGTAGCTGACGAGGCCGTTGGTGTACGGGACGAAGGGGACGTCGTGGCCCAGATTATACCGCGCCCAGTACTCAGCTCTGTAGATCCATCAGTTATAAGTGGAACAAGAAGTGAGTGAGACTCCTACTGACCCTCTCAGAATGCGACTATCATTGAACGCAAACAGATCCTCTCCCTGGTTCCAGGCCTGCTGACCAACCACCGCAAGTAACTGAAAATTCAACGCTGCATGGCCCTGGTCGCGACCGGCCTCCTGGCCCTGGCCTAGAGGCTTCCCTGTCTCAGGTTCTTTGACGATATTGCTGATAGCCTTGTTGATGGCGCCGTTGCCATCCCCGTGCTTGAAATAGTCCACCGCAAAGTCCCATACCGTCTGGTTATCCGTCAAAACGCCAAAGGCCATCGCCGAGGCGATATTGCACAGCTCCCAGTTTGCAAAGAAGTGCAGGATATTATGCTCCGATGGCTCCTCGTGCCGCAGCCACTTGTAGTGCATGGGAATGAAGATATTATTGGCCATCTTAATCACGGAGGGAAGGACATTTTTTGCAAAAGGCTCGTAGTCCCGGAGGAGCTCGGCGGCGTTGGCAAGCTGGTACCCCTGCAGACCAGCTGTCAGGTACTTGTCATCGCCGCCGCCGAGGGCGGTTAGCGTGGTCGCCCAGGCATGGAGGATGTTGCTAGCTGCATCGGCGCAGCTAGTGTTGCCGGAGATCTTCCAGCGCAGGGCGAGATTGAATGCGGCTGCTACATCGTGCCACAGGTGCTCCGCGTTTTCGGTGCTGCCGTACCAGTCACTCCGGTAGACGACGCTGACGGGTGAAGGGGTGTAGCTGGCGTCCGAGAAACGGAGACTGGTCAACACATTCCAGGAGGCGGTCCATGGGTTTGCGTTCGCTTTGATCTTTTGCTGTGCGCGAGTGATGTCGCTCTCCGAGACGAGAAGTCCAGGGTGGACGAAGCTGGAGGCAAGAGGAAGCAAGGGAATAAGGAAAGACAGATTGACCAGCATTTTGAAATGAAGAAATGAATGACTGTAGTGAGAAAAGCAAAGAACCAGCTATAGAACGAAACAAAGTCGAACAAAAAAGAGTGCTGAAGAAAAGAGGTCAATTGGAAAGAGCATAACGCGGCCGAGTCATTAATAAGTCTGCGATTTATTACTCTGGAGTAGATAGCCGCCGACAAATTAAGCGAGTAGATTAATTAAATCTAGATCAATGGATAATCTCATACAAACTTAATTCAGCGGCATGTCAACACGCGGGGAGATGAGCAAGGATAGCTCCGAATCAACCTGAAACAACGGCCCGTTTCCACACGGCCCATTTGGCCCTAGCATCGAGGGTTACCGGCATTCCACCAATAAATATGCCGACAGATGTCAATGGTCGAACTGTCGGAGATGAACCGAAGCTATTCACACTAGATGGAGCTTAGACTAGGCCCTAGCTTTGTAGTCCTAGCCCGTCCATAAACCCCTGTTCACACTAGGCCCCCTTGGAGTTGCAAGGACCTTATCAGGATTATTATACTTGAAACATGTGGAGTCTGTGATAGTCTCTTTAATAACTTAAGGTTCTGGTGCAATATCCATAAAGGGGGAACATTAAGAACACATAGCACCATCGCAATCCTATAGTTCTAGAAGACACTGGACATATAATACTGGAGAGTATTAATTAAGATAGCAAAAACAACAGGAATTATAGGCACTTTAACTAAATTAAAGTTGCTAAGAAGTAGCCATGAGACAAGTCACAATGCACATAACTACCTCTCTAACAATTAGTCATGCTAGTAGACGTCAAGCTAATTAGTTAAGACCTCTGTAGGTGTCCAGCTACAGCTCATCACCAGGATAGAGCATATTAGTGTGGCACTAGAGTGCTCCTAATCACCCTGCCCATACAACAGAGCTCATGGTCTAAGCCATCCTCAGCTGAGTTTACTCAGACGAAGGCATGTCACTAGTCGTTTTCTGGGTCTAAGTCCTTAGGATGGTCCTCAAAACCTAAAGACGCGTCCTCTTTGCAAAGGGGTTGATAGTACCAATACGAGAAATTAGGAGATAAGGGAAGAGTCTTCCGTGCCTAATTCTTAGTCTACAGCCTCACTCCCTAGTTCAATATAGACAGCCTGACCCATCCGCGCACCCATACCAATCCACCAAGCCATACCTTCGGTTGCATTCCGTCGAGCTCTCAGCAGTGCACCGAACTCCCGACACCTACACAGCAGTCCGCTCCTCCAACGTCAAACCCCCCGGCTGCTCCAGAACAATCAACGGTCCAGCAGCAACGACACTCTCCTCCGTGGGCGCATCCCGCCGATCCGCAATATTCACCATGATAATACTCGATTCGGGATCAAACCGCGCGGGGATGGTCGAGCTGTTCGTCTTCCGACCAATCGGTACGCTGACGGTATTCAGCCCATGATAAAACACCGCATAGTACTCTGTGTCGTCCTCAAACCACAGCTGGTTGTCTGCGACCGAAAACACAAAATGAAATCTTCAATCACAGCCGCGCGGTTGCCCCATTCTTGCTAAACACTAGTAGAGGTAGACCCTGGCGGGGATTGGGGTAGACCGGGTTCGCCTTGGGACAGGAACCGGGGACAACAAAGGCATTTGTGGTGTCAAGGATCTGGTTTGTGTAGGGGTAGACGGTATCTGCAGGGCTGGAGAGGGGGCTGGTGTTGAAGACGTCGAGGAGGGACCAGACGTTAAGAGGGTGGGCAGATGCATGGTATAACCTTGAGACTCAACGTAATTTCTGAAGTGATGGTGTCTGCCAGGAGATGTATTGTAGATGGGAAGTAATTGCTAAATGAGATTGAACATGGACGACAGCGAGCCTTTTATATTGCTTGACAATCGCCTCCTGACGCAGTCGCAAGGCTGCAGTGAATTGATCAACCATACAGTAAAAACATCGCCACAGCCTCCATCTCGACAAGGAAGATTCTGCGAGCTCACAAAGCTCGTCTGTGATGACATCCTTGAAGCCGATGCAACGGGAGGCCTAATTAGCCGGACTGTAGGGAATATGCCAGCGGTGGATCCTGATTGTTTGAAAGAAATGACCAATGGTACTGAAGACAGCAGCGCCAAGCTTTGCGTCGGCTACACTAAACTACATTAGGCTCATTGCGCGAGGGTGGATCTGTGGCTGATTGGCTGATAGCATGCATGTCAGATCCACAGGGCTTGCAGATCGCTAGATTCAGCCCAAAAGGGAAAATTATTTAGTAGACACATTCCTCGCCCGGGGCATATTCTCACGCCGACCGATCTCGAATCCATGAATGTCAGCAGTCACTGCCATAATCTTCTCCATCCATCTGGCTTGTCCGACTCGGGCTTAAGATTACGATAAGCCACATTCAGAGGGAATAATAGCATGAATGCCCCGGAGCTCCTTTGCAGGCAGTGGAGATGGTAATCCACCGTCCTACACACCTCGACTGCAATCGCTTCCTGTTACTTTGTATTGGAAGGAGGAGGTCGCTCGGATTTGTCATAGAAGACTTGGACCCGCCCAGGTTCAGCCTGAGTCCTTCCGCTGCCTTGAGCAGGATAAGCAGCACCGAATCGTACACAATCAGCTCGTTGGCGCGGTCGGGGTCTGTGAACCAAATGACTGTTTGAAACGGGCTGGGAGGCAAACCATCGGACCCTGAATTGCTTGACGGAATGAAGAACGCGGCATGCGGGATCTTCCCTGCCATTTACATCGCCAGAGGTAAAGGATTTCCAGTGTTGATAATGCCTTCTGGCGAACTTGGCCGAGTAACTCATCCCGTCCAGGCATATCCGGGTCCCATGCAATTACTTGGTCTAAATCTTCAAGTAGACCCGGAATGTCGCAAAAAACGTCGTGGAGGTAGTCGATTGGCGTCTTGGAGCTCATCCGTCCGGTCCATGGGATGCTCTTCCAGCAGGGTCTTCTAGGAAACAGCGTTTTCTCTCGACGATGTACCCAATTGCCTATTAAATGTGAGTGTGGTCCCGCGAGCACAGGCTAATGCTTCTTACAATACACGACCTGAGCGCAGGAAGTAGAGCAGCTCCAACACCAGACTGATGGCAATGTGGGCCTCTTAATTCTGTCTATTATAATACATAGCAACTCACGTTTGTTGGACCAAGAAACACTTACAATCCGCGCCAGCCCCTGATAATGCTGGAGCCAAGCGGAGGATTGAGTGAGCGCAACCGATTCGAGAGTTGCAAGGCAGATTACGGCGACAAGAAGGTCGGATTCTAGGACTCGATCTGGGCATTGCAACTGCACGCGCAGGCTCTGTAGCGCTTGTGAATAGGGCCCTGTGCCTTTCCGCACTAGATCTGCATGACTATGGACCTTCCCAAAGTACGTGGTAGCCAGGGCACTGAGCGAAGTTATAGATAGCCCTGTGGGATCTCTGGGGCGCAGAAGCACTGTAATCCAGGACGCTGATTACGGGGATGCGTCGTCTGTATGCCATGTAAATAGACGATTGACTAGATGCGACACACAAATGTGTTGCTCATCCAATTGGGGGTTGACATAGATGGATTCCCCCCAGTCCCGAGCTCCCTCCGCTCGAGGGACTGACTGGACTAATTCCTGATCTCGTTTCGCAGATTGGCCCCGAGTCAAGCGTGTAGTTACATCTATGAATTCGACGTGGCTGACATAACCTTGGCAGTGGAACCCGCCTTTCCTGCAATGCTCACAGTACGGTTTGGCTTCTAGTCAATAATTAGTATGCCATTGCCAGGAGTAATACAGTAGCGACGGACACACCGCATTCTACTTTGCGTCGTCTACAGGTCCTGCAACCTTTACTTCGTCCGCCTATATTCACCATTGTCAACACTGGTAGGAGTTGTTCGAGCGCAGAGCTCCAGTAGCCGCTCTTGTCCTTCAAAATTCAGAATTAGAGAACGCTTGATGACCTAAGGAGAAAAGTATTTGATCATCTCAAATGCTTGCTCAGTCCTAACGGTCAAGCTGAGTGCCTGGAGGCGCTCTTGCTGACCTCTCAGGACGCGCTGACTAAGCTCGTATAAGGCTTGCCAAGCATCATCACATTCACCCCTTATTCTTCCTGGACAGTTGCACAGTTGCACAGTTGCACAGTTGCACAGTTGGACACTTAACTTGTTCTGTCCCATGCCTGACAATTTGCCTAACCTCGAGAACCATTCGTGATGGGTGCTATCTCTCATCGAAACATGCCAAATCCACTTTTGCTGCCGGAAATTGTCGCATCTGTCATCGACAATGTCCACCTGGTCCCAGATATTTTGAACTGTGCCTGTGTGAACCGCACGTGGAGTGTTGCAGCTTTGAAGAAGCTTTACAAGGGCTCTCTGAATGACATGCAGTTCCGTACACCTGATATTGGATCACTTAATTGCCTTTTCGTAGCATCACGGGAGCGCTTCGCTCGAAATATGAGCTTTGTGAAGCATCTTCTCCTCTCCACAGATGCAATCGCACTGGATCAACTGGGACGAGCGAGAATTGCATGCTACGAGAAGTGTCGCGCGTTGCGCCATCGCAAATATGCAAAGCTCCTTTTGCAGCTGCAAGGAAGTCTTACCAGCCTCGTCATCCCCTCTGAGATCAAGGGTCAAGATTGGTCTATCATTTCCGACCTCCTTCTCACTCAAACCATTGACTTCTTAGCTATTGATATTTACTACTGTGGACTGATGATGGACAGCCCCGGCTATCTCCAAGAACCGATCACCCCTGCTGTGAGTGTTGTCAAGCCAGTGATTCTCCCCCTTCCCAAGAGGGAATGTCTGACTCTGGCAGGATAAGTTCTTAAACCTCAAAGCTCTCACAGTTTACAAACAAGGTGGCGGGATTTATGAGCTTTGCCGGTTGCTTCAATGTTGCGATTTACGGTTCTTCCACCTTGAGGAAAGGGCTCATAGCCGTGTTGGACGCATGAACCGATCCGACCTTGCAATAGTCCTGGAGTGCCTTCGACGACACCAAAATCTCGAGGCGTTGGCGCTGTTTATTCCCCATTGTTCCCCACCCTTGGAATCAACAAGAGAAGAGGAGCAGGGAAACCTATGGCCGAGGTTGAAGGCATTGTACCTTGCAAAGCCGCCCCAAGAAGGGCTAGAGCTATTACCCAAGTTCAACGATCTTCAAATCCTCAGCCTGCAATACCTGGGATCCGGGTTCCCAACTATCAACCAGACTGTACTTGAAAACATTGCAAAATGCAGAAACTTACGGGTCGTCGACCTTGATCCCCGTGATGTTGACAATGTAGAAGCACTCCTTGATATCGCGCGTGGCTGCCCACTGTTGCAAAAGTTTCGCGTGAAGGACGAACGCTTGAGCGGGGAACACTGTTTGGGAGAAGTCCTGTTTTTCGATCTGCTGCGTGCCCTGCCTCAACTGGAGTTCCTTGCTCTTGATGCGAAATTCGAGATGGATGGTGCAAGGCTTCGAGACCTTGCCCAGCACTGCCCGCGACTGGTCGTGCTTGACCTGGGTTACACTGAATTGCACCTCTCTCTCACGACAATGATCAATGTGGATCCACTCTGGCAGTTAGAGAGCATGACGTTTGCAAAAATATACTTCAAGGATCCACCACGCTTGCAAACTGACGCTATCCAGAGCATTGCAACAGAATGGCGCAGGATATTCCCAAGGCTGCGAGGTGTGCGATGTCTTACGGACCCTCCGTATGGGATGGAAGATGATTGGAGCGAGGAATCAGAGACAGATAATGGTAGTGCGAGTTCCGATGACGACACGTCAATCAGTGACTTCCAGGCCAACTTTCAGTATCCTTTACGAAGAAAACTCTGGAGGGTCATTGGTTATGAAAAAGACCCGGATATTCACCAGAAGATTGTAAATATGTGGGAGACCAATCTCGAGATCAAGACGATTGGCTGGCCCGTGGTGCCTTTAGCAGCCTTTTACGATCCAGACCCATACTCCACGACTGCTAAATGCGGCCAGTAACTGGAGTGTAGTCTGCATGACAACCAGGATCGTATATTCTCTTATACCACCTAAGATTTAGTGCATAGAGCATGGCCAGAATACCACTGATGATACACCGTATACTATGCTAATCTTGTATACCGTGGCCACCCCTACAAAGCCTCGTTTCCTGTTCCCTGGAGAAACCTAGTCGCTCTCTCATGCTTCGGATCCCGGCACAGATACCAATAATCCAGCCAGAATTCCCGAGCAGCACTATGGTCAGGCATATACTTTCGTAACAAAGTCTTCCACTCCCTGTCCTCTTCACTGTCAGGAACAGAGGTACAGACATACTCCCACCATACCGGAAAGTATCCGGACACCTCCCAGTCAATAATTCCAGTAAGACAGCCGTCCTCAACCATAATATTGACATTCGTGAGGTCACCATGCGTAAAGGTATAAGGCGCAGCAGGCGGCATACGTCCTTGAAGTCGCACACGCGCATCAGGCAGCACAGATTCATGCAGACCCTTCTCCATATCATCCCAGAGCTCATCATCAGACGCCAGAGGACCATGGGGAAGGTCCGACCGATCATCATGAAAGAGGAAGTTGGAGTAGACTGGTCCACCACCAAGAGCTTGTATCTTATCAGACTGGAGCTCACGCAGCTGTAGCAGATACTCCGCCGTCTGCCTCGCTATATTCTCTTTCTCAGCCGCAGAGAGCTTCGACCAGGCTTTGCTAAGGGGTTCACCAGGGACGCGTCTCATCAGAATAAGAGTGCGGTCGTCTTCCTCCCAGGATTCCACCACCGAGGGAACCGGGATGGAGGTCTCTTGCTGTACAAACTGGGCATTCGCTACTTCAAAGGTTGGGCGACGAGAACCACGATCTTTTAGAATCAGGTTTGAGCCCAGGGACCAGACGCCGCGGTCGCCGGCTTCGTAGAATAGTTTGACCTGGCTTTTGTAACTGCAGTGCTTTTGGCGTTCTTTAGTCCAGCTGCATGCTGTGCAGGGGTCTGAGGAGCTCATGGTGAGAATATAAATTAGAGAGAGGTGCGTGGTTAGGATGGAGTAAGTTGTGATGATGTTCAAGAGAAAGAGTGGGTAGTGGTCATATTTATACCCTGTTGTGCTCATCACACCGCCACTTGGTCTTCTGTTTGCGCGGCTATGTAGAGTAGCAAAACCGGAGTGTCTTGTGTAACCTAAATGTAGTGGTTAATAAGATGAAGTGATGGCCTTCATTACATTGACCACAGGCATGCCTAACAATAGTCAAACTGCGAGCTGGCCAGGTGGCTCCGTAGTTCTTCCAAGCTCATGATTTGCAGGGGCTGGAAATTATCAGGACATAGCTGGCGCCTGGCGTACTGGTCCAGGCAGAGATTTACCGAGTCCAGAGAGCAGTAGGTAGCCTCAACGCTTGCGCTGCCTTTGCCACATGGGTCAGTCAGGTATCTGTGAACGTGGTAATACAGGTCTAGTCCGATGGGTCAGCTACCACTCTGTTAGAGCTACGACCGATATATATGAGTGATCCTGTAGTCCTGCATTGGGCAACCTGAATAGGATGGCAACACCATACATAGAGAAACAATAGATCAACCGGGTCCTTCAGTTCTGTACAAGAGATTATAATATTTAGTAATCATACAACGTAGAAGGAGAGGAACTTCGGATGAGATAAAAATGAAGGCAAGAGATAGGATGTGTCATGCTAACCTATCCAAGTAATAGAGATGAATGAGTATTATCCATCACAATTACCACGGCCAAAAGCCAGGCACCCAATAAAAGGTCCCATTATGTAAGGTACCACAGCCAGAACAAACAAGCGAATGCTTTGGGCTAGGTCCTTTTGGCCCATTCTGCAAAACATCAAACATGAATTCCTTGCTGTGGATGCCGCCGTAGAGAGCATTATGAACAAGGTCATCTAGTCCAGAATGCTTGCCACAGTTGCGGCACTGCTCTCTTTCACAGTTCATAATATTCGCTCTCCTTGTAATTGGCACTATTCCTCTCAGTCAGCATTATTAGAGTTACCATGCTTGCATCTGGCAACTAACCTGTAGTTTCAAGCATACTAGCAATGTGAGCCCGTTCGGTTTCAGTAAGTTCCCAGTTGTACCAATTCTTGCCATCATCATCGGTGATGACCTTTGAAGTCGAGGGTGTCTCCATGGCCAAGGGATGGACAGGAAGGTCTGACAGTGCCTGCATGGTGATAGATTTATGAGGTGTAGATGAGTGTTTGCTTATGAGGATGTTGAAAAGAAGATTTCAGCACGGGGAGCAGGTCGGTCGCTTTGGGTCCTTTATATGCTTGGATGATGCACTAGATTAGATGATGGAAAGAGAAATAACAAGGGGATTGATGATAACTATGTTGCATGACATAATATGGATGTGATAAGTCTATTCAGCCTGCATGTCGATCTCCTATAAAAACCCTAAATTAGCCAACAGGAATTGATAATCTGCAATCCTATACATTAATCACATAAACCTTGACTTTGTAGACACATCTCCAACTCTATATCAGTCACATAAAAGCATTGCTTGAAAGGGTTTCAGCTAAAAGAATAGAACTCGAAAAATATAGTGCTTCTGGACATACCCACTTTTCAGCCAGCCACAGCACACGTAGCCAACGTGGGGTAGGTGAAAGTCGAATTAGGTACAGTGTCTTCTTCTCTCACCAAGATAGTAGGAATAAGTTCTGTAATGACGTAGTTTGACTGCCTAGGAGACCTTTGTCTTAGGACTCATCTGAAGTATACATAGATTGCCTTCGAGTCACCCACATCTGTAGGGAGTATTGTCGCGAAGTTCGTGTGGCCGTGCCAGCCATGATCGTCAGAAGATCATTACCCCACATGTTCTATCCAGTTCCTTGTTTCTCTACAGAGTTTTGAGGACAAACTCTGTACGCTGCTAGTAGTCCTGTGTTGATATAGATCACTGCTTACTGAATTAAGATGGATTCGGCAAGATTCTACTCACTCATAAACCTTCCACATCTCCGCAATTGATCAACCTGATCAGCAAGCCGCTGAGATATCAATGATATCACGATAATCGTACTAATCAGCGTGGTGACAATTGAGCCGGCGATTGGTCTACAAGATGATGAATTGCCTTCATCACCACACCTGGGTAGAGTACATAGATCGCTTAGATAGATACTCATTTGAGAAGAATCAGACCTTCATTGCTTTCTAAACTGCATACAACTTGCTACCTCATTTCAAAACCTTCTAATCCCTACCAGTTAACTATTCTTATTGCTGGCAGTAAAGAAGTCATTGGATCCTCAGCAATTCTAATTTAACTAATCAGATCACTGGAGTACTCTCACGGCTCACCACTAATTCACCCTTCATTTACAGGATTCTACTCTTAGTTTCCAACATTGTATTTCTTCATTCCAACTGTTTCAATGTTTCAATACCTATGTTCACATACAAATTCAGTTAGCATAGGTGGTGTCACACTGCCTATTAAAGAAAGATCCCTCCCTTTATCAGAAGGCTAAAGTGTAAATCATCAAGCTCCTAACAATCCTCCTCTAATAGGTTCAATTAACTATACATGCTAATATTCTACATGTTGGTACTAGGGACTGATGTGTTACAGCTACTTTAGAGAATATCACAGGATTACCAGGGATGACCTGAACAACAACGCAGTTCCTCGCACAAGTTAACTATTCTAATTAGGAACCCTCATGCAGAGCCTGCATTGATTTTATGCTGTAGAGCTCACTTACTGCTACAATTATACATACACCTTCAGACACTGAAGGCATATTTCAGGAAGCACAGGGTCAATCTATAACTTTGAAGAGATTGAACACCTGGTTTGAATTGGACACCTTGCTTATGAGGAAATATTAAAACATGAAGAATGATACTCTCCATCCATATACAAGGAAAAATATCTGGTTTGGTAGCAAAAATATGCGCATTCAGGATGGTTGTTCGATAGTACCCAGACCATGGAACACAGCCTACACAGGTTCACCTTAACCCCACCCCACTAAATAAGCTTATTTTAGCTTATAAATGGGTAAGATAACATTATTATGCTACGATATTGCCGAACTAGTGGGACAATCATTCCACCTAGTTCATGTTCTTGGGTACCTCAGGCGTTCCGACTGTCCTGCAGACGCAATGACTGACAGGCTGGGAATTTTGTTAACGTGGCATCTAACTGGTAGGAAGTCCACGTGACTTCGAGTGGTAAACATTTTGCAAGTCTTGGGGCCACTACCAGATCTTCCTCCACACCACCTGCATCATCATCAACTCTCAGCAGCAAAACATCATTCCCTATCCCCTCAATTGATTCCACTGTTGCTCCTTGATTTTCTCGGCAACCAGATGTTTGTGTGATCGAGTCCTACCAATTTTCTGGAAGGTAGGCATCAGAGGCATTACATTCCAAGAAATATGTGCCGACCCCCATCCGCGCGTCTTTGGTGCTACATGCCAAGTACAATACCAAGCCAGACCCAACACTACCGCTCATTCTCGAAAGCTCCGACGTTATCCTACAATCACTGTCCCGGCAGCATGGGCTCTTCTCAGACAAGTAAGTATGCCAATCTGAGCGCGATTCAACGTATTACTCATCCGTATCAGACTGGAATTCTAATGATGAATTCTTCAAATTCACACGGGGCCGCTTTATTGTCGATGAGGCGGAGAATCTGCGAAAGCGAGAGATCACTTTCGATTTGAATAGGCTCGCAAGTGTCGCGGCAGACTCGATTGGCGCCGCTCAATGCATTTCTATCAAGAAGTACCCCGACGGGATGTTCAACAAAGCATTCCTTATGACCATGGACGATGGCCGAGAAGTCGTGGCCAAAGTGCCCAACCCGAATGCTGGCGTTCCACACTTTACTACGGCTAGTGAAGTCGCCACGATGGACTTCGTAAGGTCACCCTGAACCCAATCAAGGCCGAGTCTTGCTAACGTGCCTGATTTGGGAGGCCAGAAAAATTCTTAACACACCAGCGCCTTGCGTGTACGCATGGAACTCGCAAGCAAAATCACATCCTGTTGGGGCTGAATTTATCGTTATGGAAAAAATTAAGGGTGTTCCGCTGTCCCAAGTCTGGGACACAATGCAACTATCCCAGAAGCTTCAAGTCCTTCTTTCTATGACACGTCTCCAGACGCAATGGCTGAGCGTTTCATTCTCGCATTACGGCAGCTTGTACTACGCGGGAGACGTGCAGCCACCAGTAAGCAACCACTACGTCAAGGATGGCAAGGCCGTCAGAGATTCGGAGTTTGCTATTGGCCCGGCTACAGGCCGGGATTGGGTTGATGCAGGCCGATCAGTTTTAGATGTTGAGAGAGGGCCATGTACGTCGGGATCCGTACCATCTTCGTGTAGCCGCTGATAAGTAGGTTTACAGGGACTTCTCTAACGCAGTATCTGCAAGCAGTCGGGACGCGAGAGACGAAGGCAGTCCAGACTTTGAAAACACCAAAGCAGATTGCCTTATTCTGTGGCCCAAAGCTCTACCGACCAAACACAGAAAAGAAGATTACTGCTTTATCATGGTACAGACAAGTCGTCGATGCCCTTATCCCGAAGGACACTGCCATCACCAAGCCCTACCTCTGGCATAATGATTTGCATGACGACAACGTCTTCGTAGACCCAGATAATCCTGAAAGGATCACCGGTGTCATCGACTGGCAGTCTTGCCACCTCTCGCCCCTCTTCAACCATAATCCCGATCCAGCCTTCCTCGACTGGGATGGCCTTGAGCCTGAGACGCTCGACCTAGCACCAAGACCGAAACTCTCTGGACTTTCTCCAGAAGAACGGTCTGCGGCTATACACGAGTATACCGTCCAAAACGTGTTCATCGGATGGCGGAAACTCATGCATGCCAAAAACCCAGACTTATATCGAGTAGTCGAATTCCGAAAGACGGCAGCGTATGGGCTGATCTTTCTTGCCCACCGCATGTTCGAATACGGCGAGGCGCATTTCCAATCGCTTCTAGTCGATCTAAAGGACACATGGGCGGACTTACCTGCCGTCACCAGCGATGTGCCATTCCCGTTTCACTTTTCAGAAGCGGATATCGAGCGTATCAAAAGGGATAGCGATGATGCAGTGGCAGGAACCGAGCTTGTTGCGGAGGTCAAGGAGAGAATGGGCGATTTGTGGCCGGATAAAGGCTTCATCGAGCACGAGCGATACGATGCTTGCAAAGCTGCCCTCGACGAAGTCAAAGGTCAGATACTGGAGCAATTGGCTGAAACAGATGAGGAAAGGGCCGAGTACGAACGTTATTGGCCATTTCAATGATACCTATTATACCGAGGCAATGGCATGATCGCGAGGAAACGGCAAAATAACTATGGACCACACGGAAAATGCACCTCATTTACTCATAGAATATTCACCGAGTAGACCAGACCTAGAAGAACTCTCCAAGATCTAACCTCTGCCGAGTCCTCCAACTGTTCCGACTGTTCAATTCCCAGATACTCCCTCGCATACCCCAATACCGGTCCACCGCAGCGACGAGAAAGCCGTTAGTAGTATTCTTATTATCTGCACAAAGTGGTATCTGGTATTAGACTATGGTCACCCAGCACATAATCAGCCGGCAGTCTAGCCGGCCAAGCCTTAGCAAGCTGCCACATATGCCATCACCCAGTAGAAACTACTAACTGTTTGGAGCTGGTGCAAGACCTGATACACTTGCTAATACAGCAAGCCATTGGGACAAATCCGAAAAAAACCTCTTTTGGTTTCTAAGTATGTACACTGCTGCTAATTCCGCGTAGGTAGAATTACATTTCCATACCATTTGGTATCCCTACTAAACATCAAATCACCATATAGTAGGCATGTTGAATCATCATATAGTAATGACGACTTGAAATAGGGATTCAATAGATACTGTATGGTGATTCAATATCCCTAGTATGTGACGATTCAATATGGTGATTTAATATTCCTACTATATGGCGATTTGATATGCCGATTGGATATTCCTACTATATGACGATTCGATATCCCTACTATATGGCGATTTGATATGGCGATTCAATTTCCTACTTATGACGATTCGATATAGTGATTCAATATCTAGTGTTTGCTGAGCTATAGGGAATAATTATCTCTATTAGGGGTTGGTATGAAAGTGGTGTAGAGATATGTATATGCTATAATGCTACTAACCTTTGACAACCACCATACTTGAAAATTAACTGCCCCTAGATAGTATATTAAGCAATAGGTATATTATCGCACTGATCGCATATACCTAAGAGAAAACAGTTAGGTGCTTATCACTGGCAGAAAAATTATAAATCCCATTTTACTAATAATTGATTTATGTTTTTATGGTTTTATCCCGATGGCTTGCCGTATGCTAACATGTCGCCATAAAAGTACTGATTATGGACAGCACACGAGATCCCTAATTAAATAGTTCCACCTCTCCATCTCCAAACAGCTGTGAAAGTGTCATGCCTACATAGCTTATACAGTCAAATCAATATCGACGAGACCAACATAGAAACACAGCAGATATGTCCACTTTTGACCGCCGCCACACTTGTCTTGTAAGAGGCAAATAAAGGCTACCATGGCCCTCAGGCTAGGACATAAGCATAGCTACAAGAACAGACAGGAGCATGACGATACTCAGGGATGACCAAGCGCGAAACATTGATCCCTCGCTTTTCGGGGAGGGGCTTGGACTAGAAGTAGTAGTGGAAGTTGGAGTCGAAGTCGAGGTCGCCGTCGAGCTGGTTGTAGCACTGGTGCTCGTCGTGGACGCACTGCTCGGTTTTCCTAATGTGCCACCACCAACAGCAGCAGGTACCGTAGAACCTCCTGCATTTTGTGCTGCTGACTTGAACGCATCAAGTGTATTTGGGCCATTGGTTCTGCGGGTAAGAACAGTCAGACGCGTACTTGCTCTCTCGGCGTGTCATACTCACGGTGGATTGATGACCCCGACCATACCAGCCTGGCAATGTCCAACCTGGCCGCAGTAGAACCAGATAGGGTTGGTATCGTTAACAGTCAATGTGAAGACCTCGGACTTTGGAAGCACAGTATCAGTACGCTGCTTTCTAGGGATTTAGCAGAGACTCACTGATTCTCCATTTGTGGCTGGGAAAAACCCGCTGAAGAAACTCGACTGGCTAAGCGGTTGGCACGGCTTTGCAAAGGCAGCCTGAACCACTGAATGGTTGCCCGGGTAGAAGTGGAACTCGACTTTGCCTCCTGGGGAGACGGAAAGAGTATCTGGACTGAATGTGAAACCATGCTGCCCTACAGCGACGGTGTGGACAGCACTCGAAGCTGAGGATGATGTAGATGATGTAGATGAGGTGGATGAGGTGGATGATGTGGTTGTTGGTTTCTGAGTACTGCTGCTTGGGTTACCATACTGGGCATAGATGAGAGGAAGCAAAGAGATGGTGAGAATAAGATTGAGCGCTCCGGCCATTGTTTGTATGCACTATTCAAATTTGTCCTACTTGTTTATGTGGTAAAGGAGATTCTTCCATTCTATGATATGGTTCCAGTGCTGATTTATAACTTTGGAGGAAATAGTACTAGCTGTCCCATAGGTGATAAGTCCTCTCAACATACTCCAAGACCTGAATACATGCGGTTGCGTCATGACTGGCGCGAAAGACAAAGTAAGAGTTATTCTAATGACAGTATACCGGACTTCGCCACTTTACATAGTCGCAGAACTCAGATCACAGAACACGAGCTACAGCCGCAATCCCCGGAAGCAGTAAATTGGTGGGAGTACCAAGCTATTTTTTGGGCTGTGCTGCACCGACAACTTGGTAGGCCAATGTTATCTTCAGTGTTAATAGGCTGGACTAAAAAGCGCAAGGACAAAGGTACGTTAAGCTTCCTACATAGGCAGGGTCATGCAGTGATGATAGAACCCAATCAATGTGCTTGTCGCCTCAGTGGCGCTCAGCTCCGTGGGGATCCGACCATCACAAAGTCAATTGTACAGGTAGTTGTTGTGATGGGATACGTTGCTTTTTTGGTTCCCTTCTGTCTACCATGGAACGATCTGTTCTCGACGGGATCTATATCAGCCCACCAGAAATTATCATCAGGGTGGGAAGTTACCGTTTTAGGTACTGTGACGTTTTCTTTCGCTTTACCATATGATTATTCCTCATATGGCTGTGCTGTGCTGTAGATTGTCCGGATTCGATATATCCAAAGTTTAACATACAGAAGGTTTGCACTGCCCGGCTTCTGCGTTATTTTCGGATGGAACTGAGCTTGACAGACGATATTCGCTTTGCATGGAGCCTTTCAGTAATGGTAACTTCACTGGTGCATGAATGCAAAGCCACCAGCTAACCACACTCGAAGGAGGCTGTAGAAGCTCACATGTTCATCCTGCTGGCTGAATCGACGCAACGTGAGCATCAACTTCCAACTGGTGTTGTATTTTTCCATCCTCCTCCCACTGTTACCGATCCTCGCGGATACCCAATTCGGTCTACTCCGGTATTCAGATACAATGTCGATCGTGTACTGTCTGTGTTGGTGGCTCATCCTATGCAACCACGCATTCGGCCAAGTACAGACGTTTACTCCTGCGGGAGAAAACGGAATAACATACAGCGTAAATGTTCCTGAATCAACTGCCAGCTCCGGCTCCGGCCCCATTTTCATTCAGATGCGATCCACCAAAGCAGTGCAGTGGTTCGCCTGGGGTCAAGGAGCCGTGATGCAAGGGGCCAATATATTCGTCGTCTATGCGACTGAGAGCAATGTCACCGTCTCTCCGCGGCTGGGGGTCGAGCACGTTGAGCCTCTTTTCAACCCACAGGCTCGATTCTCCATCCTCAATGGTAGCGGAATCAGCAATGGAACCATCACGGCGAACATACGGTGCGATAGCTGCATCACCTGGCCAGGTGGCCATGAGGATGTGACGAGCACATCAAGCCCGTGGATATGGGCTGTGAAAGATGGTCCCTCGCTAGATTCGGACAGTGTCTCGGCGACCATCACTATCCATGATATCTCAGGTGTTGCAACCGTCAACATGAAGCAGGCAACCGGTGGCAGCTCTGAGAACCCGTTTCTCGGTGGGTCAATGTCGAATTCCAGCTCCGCGCAGGCCGTCCAGACCTTCAACTCGGCGTCCGTCAAGACGAAAAGAATCGCACACGCAGTCCTCATGATCGTCGCTTTTGTTCTCTTCTTCCCCCTAATCGCCCTTGGAATCCCTCTTTTCCCGTCCTCCAGGACAGTGGTTATCCACGCCTGGCTGCAGCTCAGCACCCTTGCGATGGTAATCGCGGGATTCGGCCTCGGCATCTCAATGGCCAGAAGCCTGAACTTCGTGAGCTCCTACCATCCCATTATTGGCATGGTAGTTGTTTCATCCCTGATTCTGTTCCAGCCTGCGATGGGTCTGGTCCAGCATTGGTATTTCCGCCGAACGGGGAAGAAGAGTGTCGTCGCCTATGTTCATCGGTGGTTTGGTCGTACCTTCATCACTCTGGGGATTATCAATGCGGGGCTTGGCTTTCGTCTCACGGGTATTGGGACTTCTATAGCTCCTACTGGGGCAGTAATTGCATATGGTGTGGTTGCTGGGCTTGTCTGGACTAGTTATGTGTTGATAGTTAGCTTCCTCTCGTACAGGGCGCGTAAGTCGCATTCTTAGGTCTATCAGTGTGACTGCTATATCTGCTTGAAGGATGCGTCCTATGGTATATGGTATAGATTGCTTCCATGTCATATCATATGATTTGCACAGAAAATAAGATTTCGGAGCAAGTGACTAACCAACCTCTATATGTATACTAATCTTACTAAGATAACAAGGGATTTGAGCGCACGCATGGAGCTAATGCACTGGAAGTTTGGATGTAGTTTCAGCTTAATTGCCTCATTGCAAGGGTTTGAGCGGATTTGCGCATTTAATCTGCTTCTAATTCTTGGTGCGTGGACCCAAGTATGGAGCTACATGAAATTATAACATATTGCCTGACAGGCTTTCTCTACTGATGTGCCAATCCTCGAGTCAACAGTGCCTAATCATGACACGCGCTATCCTGCCACCCTGATGAGGACTGTGCATACCGTCCCAAGAACAGTTCGCCCACTACAATGCCTCCGACCACCGCGCAGAACACCCCAACATTGAACGTCATCACTTCCAGCATTCTAAACGAGTTCATCGATTGCCATTAACAGCCGGGAAAGGTGCTATGCACTTACAATGCGTAGCCCACCAGCGCCCGGAGTCCCTCAAGCACCGAGCTCGTTCCATCCCGTCGCCAACTCCAGCGTCTGTACACGTTCCCCCAACGACGCTCTGCCAGGGGACTTTGTGGCTCCTGAATCAAGCTGGCGGCGAGTCCATCGCACGTGCGTTCTGGATGCGCTTCCAGGAACGGAGCCGACGGGAAAGACGCCTCGTGGTCGGGATCGGTTCCGGCGACCTTCATGTATTGAGGCAGCGGACTCATGCGGTCCTTGGGAATGGCATGTCTTCGTCGGCGAGAGGGGGCCAGCTGCAGCTTGGGCACTTCCCTCTCAACCGGTTCGGTGTGCTTCATGTCGAGCTGGAACTTTAGCACGCCCAGGAAGCGGTTGAACACCGCCATGGCGAAGAGGAAGATGAGTGTAATGGTGTAGGAGGATGTTGTGGTAGTCGTCCAACTGCAGAAGAAGAGTGTAATCTCGGTGCTGGTGTCGAAGACCGTCGACATGGCCATCCCTTTGCTGTGGTCGCTCTGGTCCATGCTGTTGACATTGCACAATCTCGATGAACATACAGGGTCGGCAATAGGTCGTAGATATCACATTCAGCGGTTATAAATTGCCTGCCAAGTCGCCCAAGTCGCCCAAGTAGCTCTATGATGATCCGTCACGAAGTCCGGGTGAATACTAGACGGACAGACGTAGGCGCGGCAGTTTGAGCATGTTCTTATAAAGGCGAGTACACCGCAATACTACAGCATCATGGTTCTGTGAGCCCACTTGGAATACGACTTTTCCATCAGTTTCCGCCTTCCATGCCCTGCCGCAAGATCATATAAAAGCTTATCTCTGTACCTGACCTCCAACTTCAACCTACGTGTACCACGGCTCCGTCCGCTCGTTGAGACACTGTTGAACATGTACTGCACTACTATTTCTCCTACGTTAGAATGGCCATCTAAACACCTTTCATCGAGTAGTTGTATGACTCGGTCAGCAAACGTTTCCAACTTCTGGACCTAGACCCACCTGGGGAGAAAATGCGCGCATATGCACTCGACTTTAATATAGTCTTGCATTGTGCATAGATTTGTGGACAAGTACGTCGAGTTAAACAAATCGTCTGCCTAACAAATCTTGCGTTTTGCTTCATAGAGAAGACAGAAACATGCATATCTTCCAAGGTGCACTGCTGGCATAGGCTGCCTGACAGGATTGCTTATGACTGCTCCCACATGGATGAATTTGCAATAGGCGCCTGAAGTCACCAAGCCATCTCTTTCCGACTGCATAGAATGGCGCAGATTTGAGCATGTTACTAGACCAAATAGTCGTAGCTGTATGTTAAGATGGCCGCGGCCCGTGAGACCCTCATTCCCTGACCCTTAAATTTTTTTTGCTTCTCAGAGTTTCTTGGAAAGCCTTAGTATCTCAGGGGATGGAAGTTGAAGTAGGCATTGCACATGGCTATCTACCTTACTTAAACGCCAAATAGAACAAGATGGACAAAAGTTCCTAAACTGCTAGCAATGTCTCTGCATATCTCCCAGACGTTCTTGAAGCCATATAAATACCAGTTGATATTATAATACCATTTCCTGGGCGATAATCAATCTGTCATTAATGATGTTTGTGCGGCCGTCTCGTTCCGCCCGGTATCCAGAGTGTACCTATGCGGCATCCAGGGACCTGATTAACTGGAGAAACATTCAGATCTTGCTGAACTTCCCTAGGATGGGCACTGAACCTGCACCACTGCAAGTTTGGGGAGGGTTGGATTCGATTCTAGCAGTTCGGTTATGCAACTCTATGTGTGGATGCAATAGCATCATCTATAAGGGCACTAGTACTTACAGCGAGGGTACTAGAAGATTACTATATAAAGTTTATTTCAGGAGAAATCGTCTATGGTATATACTAAGTATATTGTGATATCGACAGGTATGTATCTGACTTCGAGAAGGTCTATGACGTGTGCAGAGATATCTATTAGTTGTCATCACTCTGTACATAGACTCCAGAGTGGACATTACCTCTGCGTGTACATGGGGTTGCAGGCAACCATAATTTGTAGGGGAAATAAGCACTCCTTGCATGGCACCAGTTATGAAGTTTTTTAAGTACATTATAAATAGCCATAGTACGGTCAAATCCCAATTTGAACTTCCTTCTGCCTAAGATGCTGACTAAATCCGTGACGTAAGATACCAATTTTTTGAACTGTCGTCTTGATAAAAATGGTAGGTTTCTGTATTAAGATAGCTCTCATCGTGTACACGGAAGAGTCTGAAGGTGCAGTGTTGTTTGCTGTCAGTGGCTGATGTATGCCAGGAGGTCATGAACCAGAGCTAAAGAGCATCAGCTTAAAAGCTATATTCAGCTAGGAGTAAGGTTAAGCCTACCTCGCCATGCACGACATTGGGCTCTGTGTTGTATACAACATCTTTTAAGACTTCTTGCAGCCTAGTTTTCGGTCCTTTGAGAATTCTGGGAAAAATTTGATCAAAGTCTTCTTTGCCTTTGACCCCCTCTGAATCCAACCACACATTAAGGTATTGTTCACCATGGCTATGGCCAGGATAGTCAACAGACATTATGGCAACAAAGAGTACAAAATGATTAAGGAGTCGGAGTGCGTCGAGATGTATAAATCTATTAGGTGGGGAAAACTGAAGGTGGGCGTGCCGGAGTCAGGTTCGTTTTAGTACTCACCAGAAGCTTGGAAGACGAGGATCAACAGAATATAAGAATGAGAAGAAGCCCAGCCGCCACTAGTAAAGAATTAGCGTCGCAGTGAGCAGTCAGTACAGGCAGGTCGAGAGATTGCGGACCGTCGGAATGAACCACCGTTCTCGGCCTCCGCTGTAAGCTTCGCCAAAATTCTATGCTGGAACATGTAGTTGACTAGTTATCCTCTTTCATGGTAGTTACGTCCTTATTACGTGGTACAAGTCAATATCGTCAATATCCATAATAGTCAGTGGCCAATCTATATCTCATTGGTTTGATAGCTTGGTTCCCTCGGAGTTATATAAATGGATACGTATTAATTACAGATTAACTATAAGATTCAACCTCACTGCATTATCCTATCTTACCCTGCCTGACAGTTAACTTCAGTTATAAGGGACATGTGGCAAGCAATCAGCCTATGAGTTTTCTACCCAGGATCGTGTCAAGACTCCTTGATTTTGGATTTTAGAATAGGTCCCCGAATATGTCCAATTGTCTAAATCTGTTATTAAGATCAGAAGGGGATAAAAGTTTGGAAATCATTTACTTAATGGAACCATCTTCTTGGTTCTAGGCCACAGCACTAAAATAGGTGTAGAACATCACGAGGTTTTCCTTGAATTGAGATCACAAAGGCGAATGATACATACAAGAAGCAGTTAAGCTAAAAGTCGTATCCCTGATGTTACAGCAGCGAGGTCCGCAGAGGTGGGCCCCCATAGGACTTGTTCTCCAAAACAGTTGCTTGCCTTTGATTGCTCTCGAAGGCTTGAAGCTGCATAATAAGATACACAGGATGATACCCTGATACCCTAACAAACCTGGTTTTACCATAAGTATATAATATATAATATATATAGTAGTAATAACGATTTATTTAATTATCTACTATATACCTAGATATCTACTAGGCTTACCTAACTAGACCACCTAGTAATTAGTTAAGAATTAAAGGCTTAAGGCTTTTTAATTATACATCTACTACTTAGCATACTGCTTTGCTCTACAGCCTTAGGCCTTAGGTATTTATAATAGTATATTATTATTATCTATACTATGATAATAATGACTAACTAGGTGGTGTGTGGCAAGGGAATGGTGATAGACAGAATGCCCTAACTCCTCCTGGGAATAAAGCTATATAGATAAAACACAGCAAAAGAGTCAATATTGCATGGTCAGATTCTAAATACTCTGGTTGACCCAGCTCACAATGTATACAGGACCAAGCAAGGGCTGATCCAGTAAGGTTGCCGGCCGTGTTATTGAGGCACCATCTTAAACCCTAGGGCATGACTGGAGGTGGTAGCAGTCACTAAAACACTGAGCATATGACCACCTGTTGGTTCAGAATGCTGTGCCACATTAGCAATAGTGTCTTATGCTGAAAATGTGAATGAGAGAAAGATGTGGCTCGTGGATCAACGGGTGCGACTATCCTGTTTATCATACTGAATGAGAAACCAACGACAGATGCAGAGGATCTGAAGCCTTTTCTGATTCTATACAGTCTAGGCTTAGCAGTGGGCACCACAAATCCAATCAGTCACGATTTAGTAGTCGCTTCCCCTTAACCACCTGTCCAATAGGAGCTCCTTCGCGGTTGGTCTTTCCTCAGGCAACCATCGCAATGCCTTCCGTAAAAATCCAAGGAAAAGCATCTTATTATCGGCCTGCAGTCGAGATTCACGACTCTCAAAAGATTGCTCTGGGATGCTGACAGAGGTCCTCCAATTACCTGCAACAGATGAGCTGTGATGTAACTGCGATGGAAGTAAAGTGCACTTACCATTCTCATCCCAGAACTTGAGACTTTCTTCACTTCGTCTAAGAAACTCAAGGGGGGGTGGGCCCAGAAGGGAAATCATCTCCGCAAAGCGCTGAGCACGGTCTGTATCATTTTCAAGGGATTGGTTCTTGAAAAGATGACCTTGCTCGAACAATGTCCATGCCTAGGGAGGAAAAGGTTAATATGTTCCCAAACAGCCGATCGATATCCATACCGTTTGGCCCACAGCCCATATGTCCACTTTGCTGTCCCAATTCATGCCAAGCATTACTTCCGGGGCACGATATACACTCGGCATGATGAGGCCGGTCTGGTTCCCTCCGGCTAATCGCGCCTCCCCCAGATCAGCGAGAATAGGCTCGCCGCCGGTGAGAGGCATCGCACGAGTGGCATAGATTGTGCGATCCTCGAGACATTTTCGGGGAGCAGGGTTCGATAGCTCATCCTCTTCCATTTCAGCCAGGATTGACTCGTCATCTATGCCCAAAAGGATGTTGTTTGGCTGAACATCTACTCTCTGTCAGCAGTAGCCACAAGCGCTAATATTCGACTTGATCCTTACCCGTATGGATAACATTGGCTTGGTGGAGGTAATCCAGGGCAATGAGAATAAATCGGAGGGTTGGTCGAAGGAGATCTTCTGGTAAAGCGTCGCCTTCAAGGCAGTGTATATAATCACGAATATCGATCCCAGCAGGTTCATAGAGAAGACATGGATGCACTCCGTATGGCCCTGGGACTTCAAATGAGTCAAGGACGAGGCGAACATACTTCTCACCACCATGGAATTCTTTAATGGCTTTCAGGTGTTTCGAGATTTGCACCTCTGGGAGCTGTTGCCTGGTTCGCACATGAACTTTCAGGACTAGGTAGCGTTCATTACTTTCCGTACATCAGCTCATACTCCCCGAAGAAAACAAGTTCTCATGCATACTTACTGCAAGTCCCGACATAACCAAACTGTTGATGACGAGCCGAAACCAAGTTTGGTTAGCACTTGATATCGGGAATTGAAAACTTCGCCAATTTGAACTGGGTAGTAACGCTCCTCCAAGTAATCAGGGAGATTTTCCTCTTCGAACTTGACAGAAGGATCCAAGATAGTGAAGCCCGAGCTTGGGAAGATACGTGGTCGAGACATTCGAGCAGAGGACAGTTTTCGGCGATGGGGAATATGTAAGGAACTGAGTTGAGAGCAGCTCTGAAGTCGCAAGGGTAAACTTAAGCGTCTGATAGCGTAAGGTAATGGCTTACAAGGAAGCAACCTCATGGCTATCTGGCTTGGGAAGAGTATTGAAACGCCGACTGAGACATAGACACATGATAGGTCTCCTTTGAGTTGATGCGCAACGCAGCGCTGAAGTTAAGGTTCGCTTCTAATTTTAGTGGGCGGTGGGAAGGGTGCGGAGAAGCGCCTGTTCTCTCAGCAACCACCAATCCAAGCAAAGGGGAAGCTTGGAATAATTTGCCTGTACTTGAACCACCAGCTGATGATCGGCCGGGCAGATTATGTCATCAAAGGTCTAACGTGTAAAGTCCATGAACTGGCTGGGACCTCACTCTGCTCACTGCCAGTAGAGTTGCATTCAATGTGGGTGGATTAAGCTCCCCATCCGTAGCTGGAACCGCACCTCTGTGGGTTCGGGCTCTGTCCATTGAAAAACCGCAACCAAACCGGACCCGGTGCGATTGCGGGCGCTTCTCGCAGACAAGCCCTCACATGCCAGCCTATCTAGGGAGGCGGTAGGCTCTTGTCCATCCACGCCTATCGTAGTGGTGGTTGGTTGAATGCTAAACAATTGCTTAATAAGTAAGTAATAATCAGTTGAAATTCGCAAAATTCCTTTTACTTCAGCCTCGATGCCTTCTCCCAAATCGTTTCTCCATTGGTTCAGGACTGGAGGTTATACCACAAAGATGTTCACTGAGAAAAGTGGTGATGCCTTGTCGAGAAATATGCTCAAATATTACCCTGTTAATTTCAAAACAAATGTTTTGTCTGGGCAAAGTTATCTAAGCACCTCTCCTGCCAATTAGGGTATTCAGTAGGAACTAACAATTCAATATAGAATCTGGGCGCTTAGCTATAGGCCGTTATGCTCACTTTCAGGTTTATCGAGAAGGGCGCCTCGTCAAGTCTTGTTAAGATGGTTGCATTGCCATTCCTAACACCTGACACATAGGAAACCACAGGTTGCACTGTTAAGTTTGACATCTTAACTGCGCAGAGATCAGAATATCCCAGCATCTTTGATCTTTTCGCAGAATTTGGTATTTGTGACAATGAGGCAGCCGCCAGGGCGGCGTGCTTTGCCATACTTTAAGGACTGAGTATTAATAATGGTACATATGCTCTTCCAGCCTTCCTCAATACATCGTTGGCCTGCGTTGGAGCCGTTTCATATTTGATACCCGATCCATTGTGAGGTTGGAAGGGAGCTAGAGGAAGATGCCTATGCAAAACACGCAAGTCCATCTGTTTGTGTTTCACCCAACTAAGCGCCGTGTAAAGATATTCCAGAGGTTGTTATCCAATCATAGGCAATAATAGACATGATTGTAAATCTGACTTGCTTCTCTTCAAAGGTATATGAGTAGTCACAGGGCCTCGTATATGCCTCCTCCAGATATATTTCAGAGGATCAATAACTCACCCAGAATTGTCTCACCATCTTATATGTCACAATTCTATTCTTAAATTCAAACTATCTGGAGGGATCGCAATTATGCAGAGGTCTCCTGCACGGCTATTTGAGATTACTGGGAAAATCTCCGTCGACGACGTTGTCGCAAGAAGTGGACCAGGATGGAAAGGCGGGATCAACGCTGCTGTCCCAAAGCTCAGAGCGAAGGTTAGCACCGCGTCCCAGGACTTACACTAACAGTTGACTGATCTGCACCTCTAGTACCCTCGCGCGGCAACTGCCTTATTCAAGTATGTTACCCCCGCCAACTACGAAATCGGAACAGAGCTGACAATGCAACTCACAGTGGCTCTCAAGCTCACAAATCGGTTAAGGACCCTTCCGACCCCAAGCAATGCGTTACTCTTTCCATGTTCAGTGAAAAAGGAACGAGGATTGGATCTGCGCATATACACGAGGATGGGACTTTTAAAGACTTCCCGTCTCGTGCTGGAAGAACCGGCATCCAGGACACGGCGAAGGCTGACTCTAAGTCCTCTCCCTCTGAGTCTGTTTCTAAGACTTAGGTCTTTTTACTTTATTCTATTAGTGCAATTTGTCTGATTTTTGAGATCTTGACTTCTTTTTGACAGTTTGTAGCTACACTGATCCTTGTTAGAAATAACTTACCTTTTTCGATGACGGCGCCAGGAGTTTTCTTTTTGCTACTCCCAAAGCCCTTGTTGAATCAAATAATTTTTTAGGAAGGCTTCTCAGCGCACGGGAATTAGATTAAATAGCAAGTTGATGTATAGGAGATGAAGTTCTTATTTTATAGAGGATAATAGTAGGGGCAAAGGAGGGAAGGAGGGAGTTCCTAATGTTACTTCTATACCATAGTCTGCCCGGCCACTCTTAGTCAAGGATTTGTCAAATCTCAGGCATTCCGACCAAGCAGATCGCTCGATTGCTTTGATGGTCCAACCCACTAATTTGCAAATGTTTTACAGAGTTGTCTACTATATATACAATATGCTAGACTAGAATAGTACATTAGAAGATGGATGTTTCTACGCGCGTCACCCCCAACTAACTAACTCACATACCTCTCTACTTTATCCAGACAGGCCTTTAATGTAATTGCTTTGAATTAAAGTCCTCCCAGATCACTTGGTATGGCACCAATTCTCCACACATAACTATTGGGATGACGAATAATCTGAGCAAGGTGTTCGAGAGCAATAACCTGTTGAGGCTGCGGAGGTAAGGAGATTAATCAAAGGGCTCAATCTGCTCTAGGGTTTTCAAGGGGATATACTTTCCGGTCTATCCAGGCTAATTGTTTGTGCTGCTCCAGCTTTGTACACTAGGATCTATCGCCTGGAGTCAGATCGTTCTGTTTACTCCCTAGTCGCCATATACAGTCCAGTAGTGGCTAGAATGCAGAGATTGCTTGCTACTGTCAGTATATATAACTGCAAAGCTTGAAATAGGAAGTACAACAAAGAAACCATTACTGGCAGTGCTCAGAGCAGGTTCATTCTGCTACCAGGTCACTAGTTCTTCAGTTAGCATTGCACCTTAGGGTTGATGTAGGGACACTTAATGTCAGTGGCAGTCTAGGTAGAGTTAAGAACTAGCACCAATAGCACCACCTACATGTCTGGCTGAACAGCTATTAAATGCAGCAGTTACTGCGAGGATGGACATTCCATTATTTTCATGTTTCCAATGTTTTCCTGGTTGGAGTTCTGCTTACAGTAAGACTCTGGTTTCTTCTTTGAGGCTCTTCTCTTTCAGACCTTGTCCTCTGGGAGAATCTCCTCTTCTATCTGCGTATTTTGCTATACTCTCCTGGCATGCCTGTTAATGTGCTTATTTATTTGTCCTAATCATTGCTGATTGTCTGTCTTTACTAGCAGTTGGGCTAACAGCCTTGTCATCTGCTGTGTTTCATGTGGGGTTGTTTTCTTTTGATGCCCTAAGATTCTATAAGTGCGGACACATCCATCCACAGATAACTAACATCCTTCTAATGACCAGCGGTGTGGACTGCACATGTTACACATCCAAAATGGAATCCTAGTCCTAACTATGTAGTACCATAGCCATTTAAGGGAGTAGCCTCCTGCTTACGCCCAGTAAGCTCTCCTGTGAGCGGAAAAGTCAATGTAATCTGACTATGACCGGTCGCGCTGAGGTGTGGGTAGTTCTGGCTCAGCTGAAACGCCTCTACAGTAAGAGCGCTTATTGAAGACGAGGGTATGGCTAGCTGGTGTGCTTACTTTTTGTTGACCTATCCACCTGTTAAACTGATCCACGTGTTATTGAGATAATATTGGATTTGATACACAGCTTAATAGTTTATTAAGGGAGTGGTAATGTGAGTAATATAATGATTCACAAAGTTTATATAACACCAGGCTTTATATCAATTGATTCTGCTCTCAGCAACAGACAAGATAACAAAAATATCAACAAAGAAGATGCGCTTCCAATTATCCCAAGTCCATCATGACGCAGACGAATTCGAGGAATTAGTTGCCTGCGAGGTAACAAGCTTCGAGCATCCCCAACAATCAATCTTCAGATTTTTCTACCCCATATTTGGCCATGAATCTAAGGTGGAAAAGCAAACAGCCTTCAGAAATCTGGTCGAGCTGCAACGCCAGTGGTCTCGCGAGGATCCAGACGTAGTGTGGATCAAGGCCATTGACACACAGAATAGCAACAAAATCGTCGGCGGCTTGCTGATGAAGATCCACAAGGAGAGTCCTCCTGCTCAAAAGGACGATGATGGGCATCAATCTGCGTTCTGGTATCCTGTCGGTAGCCAGCGGAAGTATATCAATGAGTGCCTGCGCATATTTACGGCTCCGCATGAGAAGTTCATGCAGAGGCCGCATGTCTGTAAGTGCTAGCTGAGAGGACATTTCAAAGAGAAAATTAACAAATTCATAGATCTATATATTGGCTTTGTCCTCCCCGAATATCGACAACAAGGAGTTGCCGACATGCTTCTCACTGATGCATGTCGCCGGGCAGATGAACTCGGACTAGAAGCCTGGCTTGAATCCGTGGTGGCTATGGGTGTTCCGATTTACATGAGGCACGGCTTCATTCCCTTCCGTAAGCACGCGGTAGAGCCGCAAGCTGAGAGACCAGATGATGAATGGAAGGATATGGAGGAGAAAATGCAACCGCTGCGATTTTGGCCAATGTGGCGACCTCCCCAGGGCAAGTTTGTCCCTGGGGAGACAAACCCACCTTGGAATGAATTTATGAGTAGCATGCTGAGCAGGCTGTAGCTCCTACCAGGATTCCATTTCAGTGATCCTATTTAATATAGTTAAATGGGTGCTATCATGTGAGAATAACAACTGCCAGAGCTGAGAGTAAAACATTTAAGCATCTGAAATATTATCATTATCGCCTTTGGTGAACACACTCTGAACATGGCCAGATGCAGCTAACTAGACTCGACGCAGTCTGGCTCATTGTCAAGGTTGTCCAGGATCCCTTTTTAGATTGGTGGTAATATGGTTGACACAGCGCTTGGAACGGCCGTAGCACAAGTCATCGTAAGGTGAGATTCAGCCAGCCATCAACTAGACTAACGCTAAATTAGATACAGCGGCTCACTATGACTTATGAGAATATAAAATAGTGTAAATTCCCACAGGGGTAGCAATTCATGGCACTGATTGAAACTACCACTTTGAGAATCATGTTCAGCCAGCTATCTGCAAAAGTTACCTCTTTTCTAAGCCCAGGACAAGGCTCCTACATAGAAGATGACTATTCACACCTTGTTAGGGATTTGAGAAAATGGATCATGTCAGACTCGAAACGGAGGAACGATTTTGAAGAGGCCATCACCACAGCCCGTGCACACAATACAACTGAGATGCAGGACATTCAATGCCTAGAAGATTACCTCCGATTTATCAACGACCAGCTTCATTGGATACCAAGTAAAGCCGCACGACCCAAGGACATCCTCTCTCGGATATGCAAGGTGTGGTTCGTTCTGGACCAGCCCTCTGTCGCCGCTTATCAGGGCCCAACTCGGCCGTCATCTGAGCCGGAAAAAAGCCAATGTGACAAACTCACCTGGCTCTCAGACTGGATCGTACGCTTCAGCAAGGAAATCGGGAGATTTATGGATTCACCTGCTTCCGCAGCATCACTGGATACATTCAGGGCAAGCCCCGCGTACAATATAGAAGACTACATCGAGCCTCGAGGAGGATGGAGGACGTTTAACGAATTCTTCTGCCGCAACGTCAAGTCTGGTCGACGCCCCATTGCCGCCATTGGAGACGACTCAGTTTTGACATGTCCTGCCGACTTCGCGTTTGAAGAACTTCATCCCGTCTCGGCGGATTCCACCGTGACCACGAAAGGACTCAAGTGGCCGATCGCTCAACTGCTCGATGATTCCTTGTACAAAAAGCGTTTTGCCAATGGGACATGGTTGCATGGCTTCCTAGACGTGAACGATTATCACCGAGTACATGCACCCGTCGGTGGTACAGTCCTAGAGGCTCGCACAATTGTGGGTCGAAACTATATGCAAGTCTACGCTACAGCCGCACAAACGAACATACTCGGTGACACAGCCGGCGCAGTGCTTAGCGTTCGCAACGAGACAGGCTACCAGTTTTGCCAAGCTAGAGGCCTGATTGTGCTAGATACAGGCGCTGGTCTAGTTGCCGTGTTGCCTGTCGGTATGGCCACAGTATCATCAGTCATCCTCACTGCAGATGTTGGCGCACAACTGCATAAAGGTGAAGAGCTGGCGTATTTTCAATTTGGGGGTTCGGATGTTGTTCTGATCTTTGAGGAGAGGCTGAAGGTTGACATTACTATGGAACGGGGACAGCATTATAGGATGGGCGTGGAAATCGGTCATTGCAAGTGTTCTTAATTTTGAATTGGGATCTTTAGGACTTTCACATCTAGCTACCTTTAGAAAAGAGCCCTAGTCAATATTGCGTCCTCGGCCCAGCACTACATAGTCGTGGCTTACCAACTCATGCATAGATGCAACAGTGCGAACAGTTCGTAGAATTTACACAAGTCAGTTTACACAAGTCAGTTTTCCAGCAGCAGCGCCATCTATGCACGACCTGGGATTACTGCGGAGCTGTCCATATTTGCAATGCATGAATTGTTGATGCTGAATAAGAAGTATCTGCTGATATACAATAAGATGTCTGGGATAACCATGAGGGGATTCGGGTGATACGCCTAAGCCCAGGTCACCGCCATATATTTACATACGCGACTCTGATCGTTCAAATACTGATCCGCCGGCCGACTGTCTAAACCCCTAGTCTCTCACGTAAGCTCGAAGATGTATCCACAACTGATGAGTTTGCTAAACTCGATCCATCTGCTGCAATGGCCTCTGCAAAAGACTGAGGGTGGTAGCTAGAGCTAGCATATGCAGTCTCAAAGCCTTGACTGCATATTACATCCAAAGGCATGAATTCATCGGACTCAGGGGATGTGGCATAGATTCTCCACCAGTCGACATCCGTGGCTCCATTCCAGCTTATCCAGAAGGTGGTTGCTGAGTTTGTGGATGCGCTGTATGACCGAAGGGCAGGAGGGTCGCTTGGGTTTGCAGTCCAGTTCGACTTGAATGCACGGTAATTCTGTGCATCTGGGGAGGCTAATGTAGCAAAGAATATTGCAGTGCCGTCCTCGGTATGTTCCGAAATCGAAGGCTTGCTGCCCCATCCGATCACGACGTTCTTGTTTGGCAATATTTGGACGTTTCCCTGGGTTATTGAAAGCAGGCCATCGCCTGGAGCAAAGTATTGTCTGATCAATGTCGAGGTGTTCGTACTGTCGTCGATAGAGATAACCATCCCTGACGAAGTCGATGACGTGTTTTGATGTTGGTTGCTTCCATTATCAAAGAAGGAGAGAATTGTCGTKGTCTCATTCCCCTCTCGAAAACGGGCGTGATGTTGATAGGAGAAATTGTAATTTGTCAGTTCGAAAGACGATTGAGTGCCGCCCAGTTGCCATATAATGGACCCATCCATGCCGGAAATCTTGTATATGGAGCTGGTATGTCTTGCAGACACAAGGTAGTCACCTTCGTGATTCTTATCGACTGAATTAATGTGAAAATAATCCCAAGCGCTCCCATTAGTCAAGCCATCACCAACCACTGCATCTAAGCGCAGAGGGGCAAGGGTAGCCGAAAGCGGAACGTAGTCAAGGGATTTCCACTCAAATAGAACCTCTCCCGTCGTTATATCAACCTCTTGGAACACGCCGTCTATAACCCAACCATTTCCGGGATCGAAGCCGTATGCTTCGAGGTCGTAGGGCCCTGTTTCATATATTGTTATGAGTGCTGTCTTTCCATCAATGATTCTCATTTCGTGCAAATCGCTTAAAAGCATGCCGTCCCCACTTTGCACTTTGGTCATTGGGTTGTAAGTGTCGTCCAAGATTGTATGGTAACCTCTTGCATATCCCTCGGTTTGAACTCCTTGATAATAGCAGAGGTGGTCTGATCCATTATAAGGGCAAACATGGAGGTTATGAAAAATATCAGTGGCAGAGTTATTAGCCCCGCTCCATACAAGGTTCTAGACACGTCAGCGCTGTTGAGAAAATTGAGTAGGGTGATGCACAAACACCAGAATTGTCATAGATATAGGGCCCTGGCATATCAACGCTATAGGGAGTGAGAAATAGATAGCCTGGACTAAGGAGACTATCGTCTTGTATGCTGATATTGAGAACCGGGGCGCGGATATCCGGCCGCTTGTCGAGTCGGATTATAGTTAGCATACTCTTTAGCAACCACTAATGGGAGCTTTTACTGACAGACTGGAAGGACGTCCAATTTGCGCAATTTATCACATGAACAAATGTCAAGATGTAAACAATCCCCAGCAGTTCTTTTCGAAGAGATACTACGTTGCTGTTCTGGTTCGAAGCCATGGTGACTTGGTTACAGGAAACCACTGTCCTCGGCCATAAGTGACCGGCGAGTGCCTGAACGGATTGATAGGTAGTGTAAACAACTATGTCCCTGTAAATTATATGACGAGACAGTCCAGAGCATTAATAGGAACGATCTATGGTTGAGAGACAATAAATCTTGCGATTCTACTATTACATCATGACTTAGCTCCTTAAACATCAATCAATTTATATCAGCTGGATCACGTAGCGTGGAATATATATATGGTTTAGAATGATTTCAGACTGGTTCTATATTTTCTAAACTTTATTTTCACGTTCCTAGGTTGTAAGGACACATGGGCATTCTTCTCGAGATTGCGTGGCCATTTGTTCTACGTTCACCGACTGCTGATTGAAAATAAGCCTAAAGCAGCCGAACTTAGGGTGGGTTTTAGAGGATCGACGGGCCATAATACTATTGGCGGGGAGTTCCAACTTTGTTCGGTTCGGGGCCTCATTGACTTCCCCGGATTCCATAAGTACACTGTTCACTTCCAGTCATGGGACACCATGCGGATGCGCTAGACGCCTTAATTGGTCTAGAGACTAAGATTGGGTTTGTGGCTTCCAGCGACACTTTCGAAAATATGTTGGCGCGGTGAAATACATTTGTAGACACATGTGGTTTATATGACCTCATCGCTATATATCCTTGATTGCTTTTCAACTTCTTTTTCCATAAGGCATTACACCTTTACTAAGAAGGGTTCATACTGTAAGTCTCTCACCATCATTACATCCCGCAAAGCAAATAGAAGCAAATTATGTATTACATAGCAGTATGCTACTTGCCTACGCTGTTTAGCCAAGCTTTGGCGTAGCGTTCCCGCTAGTTCATAACTGTAAATATACTCTTCTGGCGCTCTTCAGTCTATATCCAAATGAGGTGGAGACAAACGACTGGCTATCCTTGCTCCTTGGAAATGTTAAACTTGTCTACTGTGGTGCTTCCATATTATCCTCACTACTCACGCTGACATCTCGCTTATGCCAGAACTGATTTATTAACATACTTTTATTCGTCCATCATTCTCCCCACTAGGGCCAGTGTTCTAACAGGTATTGTGGATCACTTAGCCTCGAACGCGCATCCAAAAAATAACAAAGATAACTTTGGAGGAGCTTGCCGATGTCAGGAAATTAGACAAGAGTCAGTCCCTGCAATAGCAAAGTACACCTTTCAGCCTTGCATCCTACAGATACGTCTCAACATCAGAAACACGAGATCTGTGAGTTCTTGCTGCATCTATCCTGGTTGTCCTTGCCGTTGGCTCCTTCTTCGATAGATTCAGCGACGCAAAAATAAAAGTAGGTGTCAGTTCAAATAAGCTCAACCTTATTATAGATCGCCTGTTGCCAAGCCTCTAGGGTCGGCAGATCAGCAGCCGGTGCTATCTGGGCGGGGCTGTCAAGGACTAGCATTCTGGGCTGCGTGGACTATCAATACTTTAAGCAACTGTAAACTCATGTACATAACATGCACTTTCGTACATTCATAATTCCTTGCTCTTGGCGCGGCTACCTCGCATGCGGAGAATATACGACACCGAACCTAAAACCAATGCGCCACTGTCGCGGAGTGCTCTGCTTAGTATGATTTAAGCTAAATTTACAGGCCACAGCATGGCTAATGGATAAACTAGAACCATCTCAGGATCCCAGCACATCCAAACCCAGTTAGATTAATTAAGAGGGCCAGGAGGATTTGGGATCCTGCGCTATTAGCTAAGTTCTTCACACCGTAGAATATATCTAGTTTGAGCGCCTGTACGATAAGCGCCAGAAATTTATATAAATCACTCTTGACTGGGAAATCCTCCACTAGGAGAATAAACGATGCATATCTGTCATCCACGGAGTACTTAGCTCTTTTACTTACCGCTTATGCGTCATATGTCCTGTTTTGCATTGACTTTATGATTACCTGCTATCCCGACGTCTCTGCTGCGTTGCAATCCCATACTCGACCATAGCCACCTTTGGGAATGCTAATTGGACCCAGTGACGTTTTGGACTTGTCCTTTACCAAATGGATACCTCTATAGCTTAGGATGAACCAAGCAGTTCATTCACATCTTTTAAATTTATACGTTTTCCTGTCTGGATGAATTGGGATTGCTGATTACGCACCTTAGAGCCAGGAATTTCTGGTATAGACACACTGCATGAAATGGAGGAGAAGTCTCTTCCATGGTTCAACAACACGAAGGCATCCGACGTCTTCCTGACGGTCAGTGGTCCAGCATTAAGCAATTATGACCAACTCAAGCATTGCAGCGTGAGTTCAATAAATACACCTTTATTATATCTTCTCCTAGAAACCATATTAAGAGAGTACGTTGATATCCTTCCGAGTATTTTTCGCCATGAAGCACCTTCCCCTACTTTGGTTGGTCCTCCCCGCCAGAACACTCTCTGAGCCCTTTCAGGTCCCTTTCCAAGTTCCTCCAAGTAGCACAGACGACAACAAAATTGCGCCAGAGGCCACAGGCATCATCAGCAATCCCGAGAGAGTAGCAGATCAGACATACGACTATATAATCGCCGGAGGAGGTCTGACAGGTCTCACGCTCGCTGCCAAGCCTCTCGACCATCCGGACAAGTTCAACGTTCTGGTGATTGAGAGCGGATACTACGGGTCTGAATACGGTCCCATCATCGACGATTTGAACGCATATGGTGAGATCTTTGGCAGCAGCGTTGACCATGCCTATGAGACCAGCCCCCAGATCCACCAGCGGGTTGAGATCATTCGGTCCGGCAATGGCCTCGGAGGGTCCACTCTTATCAACGGCGGAACTTGGACACGTCCACACAGAGATCAGATCGATTCCTGGGAACATGTCTTTGGAAATACTGACTGGAACTGGGACAACCTGAAAAAATACATGGACGAGATTGAGAAGCCTCGAGATCCAACGAAGGACAAGGATGTGACCGAAGGCCATCACCACCCTTATGACCGGAGCTGCCATAACTCCAAGCCTGACGAGGGCAAGGTAGAGGTTGGCGCGCGAGATCGAAAGACCAATTGGTCGCCACTTATCTTTGCGCTAATGCAAACTGTCAATGACACCACTGGCGCGCCATATCAGCAGGACCTCTGCTGCGGTATTCCGCACGGCGTGTCTATGTTCCTCAACACCCTGACCAAGGGGCAGGTCCGCACGGATGCTGCGCGGTCGTGGCTGGAGCCCGTGCTCAAGGACAACTCGACAAAAGCCCGCATTACCGTCCTGACCGGCCAGCTTGTGGGCAGAGTCAATCTCGAGCCAACTGAGAAGGATGACCCAAAGTACAAAGCGACGGGTGTTGAATTTTCGGCACCCACCGCAAGAAGGGCTGGAGGTTCAACGTCAGGGCGAAGCACGAGGTTCTCCTCGCTGCTGGATCGACTATCTCCCCTCTGATCCTGCAATATTCAGGCATCGGTCCGGCCGACGTACTGGGGAACCCTAAAGTCAAGATCGAGCAAAAGATCGACCTCCCTGTTGGCCTCAATATGCAGGATCAGACCACAACCTCTGTCGTCGCCCGGACCACCCCGGAAGGCAATGGGCAGGGTCAAGTCGCGTACTTTGCAACCTTCGCGGAGGTGTTTGGGGAAAATGCGGAGTATTACAAGTCGCTTGTGAACCACAACGCCACACTGCGCTAATGGGCCGCCGAGACCGTCGCAGGAGGCGGTTTCCACAACCAGTCCGCTCTGTTCCTTCAGTATGTCAACTACCAGAACTGGCTGCTGGGCAAGAACAACGTCTCCTATGCGGAACTGTTCCTCGACACCGACAACCACATCCACATCGACCTGTGGAACCTGCTGCCCTTCACGCGGGGATACGTCAAGATCCTCAACAGCGACCCCTACCTGCGTAGCTTCGAGTATAACCCCCGCTATTTCCAGAACAAGCTTGACCTTTACGGGCAAGCTGCGGCGTCGAGACTCGCGCGTAAGCTGACCCGCTCCGGGAAAATGGGAGACTTCTTCGGCGAAGAGACGTTGCCGGGGGAGTTGCTGTCCGACGACGCGAGCCTGGAAGACTGGGCGCGCTACGTGAAGCAGAACTTCCGCGGCAACTATCATGGCGTTGGGACGTGCAGCATGATGAAGAAGGAACTGGGGGGTGTCGTCGACGAAAATGCCAAGGTTTATGGAGTTGAGAATCTTCGCGTGGTTGATGGCTCTATTCCCCCTACCCAGGTGTCTTCGCATGTGATGAATGTGTTCTATGGTATGGCCGTGAAGATTTCTGAAGCAATTCTGAAAGAGTATGATGATAAGAAGTAAGCAGATAGCAGGGTACAGAGGAAGGGCCCTAGCCAACTGGTGTCAATTAAAATCTATTGAGATGACTCTGGTCGACAGACAATAACACAACAAACAAGTGGTTAGTCAAAGATCCTGTTAACATTTTCAGAGTTTGTCTGGCAGGTGAAAGGCCTGTAAGGTGCCATCTTCGGGTATATGAAGTAATAAAAGCCAGCCTAGTTCTTTAATACTATAATACTTGCAAGCCATAACAGTCCTGAACCAATAACGAAGCCAACTGATTAATTTCTAGGGTTACAGGAAATTGACACCTCAGATCTCAGGCATCGCAATCATCGAACCCTAGCCCCAAAGGGTAAGGCTGTACAATCAGGCAGCTGTCAATTATCATCAGCATATTCATCCCTGAGACTATGAACAGCTATCCACAATCATATCCAACTCATCATGTCTGATCCTCTCAGCCTCATCTCCAGCAGGTGCTTCCATCGCCGGGTCATTCTTGAGTTCTTGACACAGCATATGGCCCCCTCACCGTCACATTCGCCGACATGCAGACGCTGGCGGCCCGCGAACGGTCCGCGGGTGGCCGGGTCAGTGTCCGGACGTACTTTGCTGCCAAGGATGCCTTGGTGGGCGGCCGGGGCAAAAGTACTTTGAGGAGTGCTGGCGGGCACCGTGGTTAGAGGCTGTTGACTATGTCTCCACGACGGTCGATGGAACGGACCACGATACTCTGGTGCAGTCGGTGGAGGTATGGGAGGAGATATTCTCTTCTGTACGGTAGATGATTCGATTAACTTATGATATCTTGCCAGATTTGCGCTACTTATGACACTAAATATACATTTAAATATGATGGTACTGAATTGTCAATCCATGTTGATAGTATCATCCTGCTATGAAGAGATGATATCACCAAGGCTAATACAGTGCGCTAAAAGCTCAGGAGAGTACTCTCTTTAGATGAACAGATCGTTGCAGTGTTTATTGTCTAAATTCCCAAAGTAGTTTATGAGTGATAATCGATTGAGAGGGGTTTCTTAAGTATAATACATGCGAGTGGAGTGCTTATTTTACAAATACAAAGGCATTCACGGGTTAGAACTAATCAAAGTTGCATCCACCGCTCATCAACCTGTTTGAGGAGTGCGCAATGATTGGACCATTTATCCTGAAATGGTTCGAGAATAACCCCACGCTGCTCAACAGCCGAATACAGCTGTTTGCAAGCATCCTGCGCATCTCGAAGTATATCCTCCGGTGCCGCCACAAGCTTCATTCTAGAAGCGCCTTCCCTTGGAGTCTCGTAGTGTAAATCTAATACGAAGCTCAATCGTTTCAAGTTTGGCAGAAAGTCCGAAGACGCAAAGGCCTTCACCCAGTTGGCCCACTCGCTGGACCTGCCAAGCGACGCGGGACCTCGAAAGCGTAGCGTTGAGAGATTTGGGGGAAACAGAGAGTAGAGTGTTGGGAGGAGGTTTTCATCCTTGAAAATATCGCCCACGGAGAGAACAAAGGTCCTCAGCTTCGGAAGCTGCGGAAGAAGACACGCAAACAGCTCCTCAGTCGTGAAGTGGAAATCTAAGCCATGCGTGGAGCGAATGTTGAGTGTAGACAGGTTCTCTACCACATGTGGAAGAGCAATGGTCATCCGGTTGAAGGTATCGATAGCGTCATTTTCGAGTATCTCCAGCTTCTCCATCTTCGATGGTACTTCCTTCGGGAGAAGCGGTAAGTCATTGTCGGTGATCAGTGGCGGCGTCGCGCGGGTCCCCGCATACCGCTCATTCATTGCTTCTGCGACGAGTTCCGGAAGCCATACTAGCTCAATCTTCTTCTCTTCTGGCGTTCCTTCGCGGACAGTCATGTACTTGGCCTCTTTTTCTCCCCGGGAAATCGCCTCCTTGTTCGCACGATACAGCTCCTGGCTGGTCGGCCCTTCAAACCGTAGTCCAGATGTCAGCAGCAGAACAAGATGCGTGACTCTTCCCTCGAGAACGAACGGACTGCGAAACACTTCAGCGCAGGCGTCGCTAACAAAAAGCCGTTCCAGCGGCCAGTGTGTTGGTAGTTCTGCATCATTCAACTCCTCGTTGAAACCCGTGCGCATCTCGAGATCCTTGATATTGCTGAAGTGTTTGCCAAGCAGTGCCCATTCAACATCAGACGGTGTATCTTCCGTTATTTCGAGAAACTGGATGTCCCGTGGGATTTTTCCCAGTTGTGCAAGAAGGAGGTCTCTGTGGTCATCGTGTTCAGTTTCGTGGGGCCCTTTGACCTTGACCGTGAACCGATGGCTGTCCGAATGATCTGATTTCATACTGAAATCCTTTCGTAGGGATATATTCCGATGTTGTGGATGATTGATTGCTATCGAGGTTCGGCAGGCTCGCAACCGACTAGGTGCGAGCCAGGCGACTCTTGTGGGTGATGACAGGAGACCAGGGCTGAATATGCGCCTGGACCAGAGCTATTCATAGGTTAGGAATTCTTTTTTGCCATATTATAAAAAAGGAAAGGGGGTATATGTACCATGATGGTAACAGGACAGCCGTTGTTGGTTTGTTTACCCTCGCAAATTAAGGTTATAGCTGCCTCCACTTAGCGTCTTGAGTAGCTAGAAGATCCACAGCCTTCAAGTCAGATTCCTTGACCGCTGATTTTATTCCACTCTCGTCTGTACGACCGAGCTTAGAGGATTATGGAATGTTCCCCCGCGAGCAATCCCCGATAAGATGAGGACAAAGACCCAGCTCGAACACCCGCCGCGATCGTAGAAGTACACTGGGACCAGTGGTCCAAATAAGGTGCGGCGCCGTCTTGGCTTATATAAATCACGTGATAATATGCCTGTCGTGACACAGGTCGAGAACTGGATGTAGGAGTCAGATGATTCTGACCAAGACACGCTGATATGGGCTGTAATCGTCAAAAGAAAATGCAATTAATTTTGATTTGCTGCCCTTGTTCCTTCTACGACAGATTACGATCACCAAGCATATCAAGAATACCAAGAACACAGCCACTCCTTCAACGAGCACTATGAATTTGAAGTAATCACACAATAAATACAAGCTCAATAGTAGATGCTATACCCAGAGCGCCTCATGCTATGCAATATCAAAACGCCATGCCGAATCCAATTATCAATAAGCCACCGGACATAATATAGCGAGCAATACACTTCAATCCAGAAAAAATATAGCGGAACTGCAGCAAAGCACCAGCCTCGGACTATGCACGAAGTTGGTTGCCGGTATATACGCCTTCAAAATCAAGTGCAGCCAGCATGCCATTGATCCGGTCTATCTCCCGACTCAAATCCTCAACATTCATGGCTAGGCTGCTGACCTCATCAAATTTGCGACGTCTGTTTGCGTCTGCAATCATTTCTGAGACGAAGAATTTCTGCTCTTCTAGGACGATAAGGCGTTCACGCAGTGCCTTCTCCTCTTCTTCCAAAGCGGAGATGGCACTACTCGTGTCGCTGGCTAGGCTGGCATTGCTCCCGCTAGCAGCTATACCGTTATACTTGATGGACGCGAGTGCCGACTCTCTTGGTCGGTGACCACCCGCTGCATGGTTAGGCGGGGCCCCAATTGAGTTGGCGGGGCTTGCAGGTCGCCCGTTCGGTGTTGCGTGCTTGAGAATCTTGGGCAAGGCTTTCAGCGGAAGCATGTGAAGGTGCAGGAAGTTAGTGGCTTGCTGATAGATGGCCTTTTGAAGCCGCTGTTGTGTTGGTGAGTCGGTTGGCATATCACGAATACGCCTGGCTGCAACATCATATTGAGCAAAGGAATCAGTAAGTCGTTTGCGGACTTTCGAAGCTTCAGCAATATGGGCCGCAGAAGGTGGTCGCCTTGGGTCTCTGATAAGAAAGTATGATGTTAGATATGGCAGCGATGGTTTAGATTCAAAACATACTGCAGACTTGTGAGGAGCTTCTGAAATTTGGGCAAGAGCAGACGAATGCCCCTCTCAAATTGCGCAAGATTCTCATACGCTCTGACGTCCGGAGGTCTGCGCATGATGTCTGCTTGGAAATCCCGTCGGTCAAAAAGGGTCGATTTACACTCCTTGCAAAGCCTTATGTCAACATTGATAGCACCCGCATTCGGTGACTTTTCTCCAGTCGCCTTGGCCACTTTAACCGGTTAGCGAAAGATGAGAACAATCCAAAGGTGACGACATACAAGGCGTTATACTAAGAGGAACTTCACTGGAACATCCAGTCGCAGGATCACCGCACACGACCCGCCCGCAGGTTCTGCAATGGTGTCTGCGAAATGTATAACTGGTGAACTCCTGCTGGCAGAAGGGACAACGAAGTACGCCAGAGTCGTCCTGCCAGCTAACAATAGTCTGCTCGAGCGCTTTCCGTTGGTCATTTTGCCATGAAATTGGCCAGCGCTTCCCGCCTGGTTGTATCTGATCCGGAGGCAGACTCGCTAATAGCTGGGTGAGTCGTGTCAGTCGCTTTTCCAGCCGAGAAATTTCCAGTGTGGCTTTGTCAACGGTCTGCTTCCTCACAGCCTTGAATTCGTCCATTCGGCCTCGGACCAGGCCTGCTCAAGTCAGTACTGCCATGTCACAATCATACAAGATATAGACAGCATACCATTATGGTCGTTGTACCCTTCCCTTGATTTATAACAGGTCTCACAAACCCTACACCACAAACCCCTCACAGGCTCATGCTGCGCCGATCTGGATAATTTCATCTGGTACATGGTGTGCTCCTCGCAGAAGAGTTTCCCGCATTTGCGACAGTTGACGCAGCCATTGGTAGCATTCAGGCGTTTCCCGCACGACGGCTCCAGACAGGTGTCATATAATCCCCTAACTTGCCAGTGATCCTTCGTGATGATGTCTTCGGGGTCCAGTGCTCTCGGTGGCTCATTGTAACCCGGCTGGGGCCCAGCGGGCCGACTTGGACCAACGGATGGGTGATGGTTCTCGTTCGACTCGAAGACGTCCAGCCCTTTTAGTTTCTGATTCAATACAGCTAGAGGCTGGAAGCGCTTCGCCTTTTCCATCTGCACCTTGAACCAATCCTTGACTTCATCTTGCCGATCGTCTTCGAGGTTTTGATGTACGTCATCGAGGTGTCTGGAGTTATTGTTAGGCACACGTCGCGAATACAGCGCATCGAAACAAATACCTATTCAATTGCAAGAGCGTCACCTGTAGGTCGTTAGCTTATCGCAAGATGACATGTCTCCCAAATCATCGAGCCGGGACAGGGGTTGAGGTGAGGGGTGCAGGCCATACCATCTCCTCATTGCAGATCGGACAAGCAAGCTGAGCTCCGGTAGCCGCCGGGGCCGCGGATATGGACGTCGCGCCATTTTCCAAAGAAATTCGGGAAGTGAGATCTTGCGTTTCGGATGAGAACTGGGAGGCGGAGGCCTGGGAACTGAGCGAGAGGCTGCTGGCGGACGGCGATAAGATGCTTGGCTTCTGTTGCGGAGACGGCGTCGATGCTGCTGCAGCGAGAGCGTTCGGAGTGCCCAGGACACGACCTCCACCCAGCGTCCTCCGGGACATGATTAGATGCGGGTTATGGGAGCATGGGAGATAGACCCGCGACAAGTGGTAAGACTGGGCGGGTTTGCTGGGGCGACAAGGCGATGATGAGCGTAGCGTATCCTGCCTAGCTCAGGCACTCAGGCTGCGGAGCCCATTTGAGGGGGAAGTCCATGGCCTGAGGCAGGAAATTAATGCCTCAGGCATTAAGGCAGAAGTGCCTCCGCCATCATATCATCACTACTACTCTTGATATTGCTTCAAGATACACCGACTAATTTCAGAAGCTGTTCGCTGACTTTCTAATGTTTCAGGGACTTGAATACGAGTTTGGGGTTCATAACGATCGTAATATTTTCTATATCGCTAAATAACAAGACAAAAAACAATAAGCAAAAGCAGATTTTTTTGTGTTTTTTCATCACTTTTTCAACTTTTTTTCTGTTTTGGAACCCCAAAATTTTCTTTACTTTTCAACTCCTCCGCAGCAAATGCATATATACCAAGATGCGATCCCCCCTATGTACTGCCAGCGTGCGCCAACACCCATCTCCATTCCTCCCAATCGCTATCCTCCTTATCGTCGTTATCCTCCGAATCTCTACCGCTCATAGTCCCGGTGGTAGCTGGTCCCGGTATTAGGGTTGTCATATTCCCTATGGACACGGGTGGTGCCGTCATCGCGGCGATCGACATCGCGGTGTCGATATGTGCCGCTAGGATTCACTCTTTCACGGTGATGCCTCGTCGAGCCATCGGTACGATAGTCCATGTGCTGGTCGTACGCTCCAGTGCTGGGATCATAGGCGGTTGTGCCGTAGCCGTTGTCGTAGGTGGTGCCGTATGTGCCAGCGGTGGTGCCGTAACCCCTGGTGCCATAGCCTGTGGTCCCAGCCGTGGTGCCATAGCCAGTGTCCGTGGTGCCATAGCCGGTTGTGCCGGTTGTGCCGCCATAGCCAGTGTTGTCATAAGTGGTTCCCGTGGTACCGTAACCCGTTGTAGAGCCCGTCGTGTCATAGGTGTTGGTGTTACCGGTGTAGTCGGTCATGTTGGTTGCGTTTGTGTTTGTTTATCACAACTTGCTAAAGACAATAGTTTACTTTTTTTTTAGCGGATAATCGCAAGAGACTCAGCCTGATCGATACGCAGAATCTGATCTGATCCGGAAAAGACGAAACTCTCTCTGGAGCCTACCTCGGCCTGCCTTATATTGTTCCTCGTGGCGGTGGATAGCACAGCAATGATCCCTTTCTGACATCACGGGCGGCGTCAACACCTCAGCGGCAATGAGGCGCGACTGGCCGGAATCGAGCCCAAGGAACGCGTCCGACTCCGATATTCGCTGAAAATGCCTTCATTCCATTTCGAAACGCCTCCTTCCGTGGAAACGGATTTCTTTCCAGACCACCAGGCTGGTTCTGGACTCTGATGATGTATCTCGGAGTGGGCGAGACGCTCGCGGGAGTCTACCTTAGCAAGAGCCACCACCAGAGATGTGATGAAATTCCCTATTTGGGCAGATTTGCGAGTCACGTCTTCTGGAAAGGATTAGAACGAGACGGTACATGCAGATGTCCAAGGTGGCACATTGCGGTAAACACGAGCCGCACTGTTGTGCCGTATTTGCATCATGCTCGAATGTCATGTCGTTCTATGATATTCTTCAGTCAACAAGTTTCTATCATGCTCCCGAGTTGTGCTGACGAGGATTTCGATCCTTGCCATGTGGATACGCCACGGAGAACTCTATGCATCAAACCCTGAAGAAACATACCTGCAGTCTGGTCAGCCAATGTTTCAGTAAATTTGGATGTAGACTCACATTCTATTCCCTGCGTGGACCAAACATCCCCCTCTGTACGTCCAATCCAACGGAGGATCTGCAGAATTGTGGCCATACTCGGTATGGCGGAGATCTGATCATGTGATCTTGCCTAGTAGATTGCTCCTATCATTTATATAATAGTAAATATACTTTTACTGTCACGGGCTAGAAGCCTAGTAAATCTATAACCTAGATTTGGATGGTAAGAAATTGCTGAAGGGTTCTAACTAGGGCCGCAACGGCCGAACATAAAAAGGGGTATGTGTAGAGTTGCATAACCAAACCACAAAAATCAAATCCAACCCTCACCAAACCTGCAGCAGTGAGGGTTCAGTGCCTAGCCTAGGGAATTACTTTGGGTTTGGGTTCCCTACCCCAGGCCTAATTCAGGTTCGGTGAAAACCATTAGTTATGGTTTTTGTGGGTTTAACCTAACAGTTTAACTAACCCACACCATTTTACCTATAAATCCCTGATTTCTAGGCTTTTACTAGTAATTTTAGTATTACTAGATAGCCCTAAATTCAGGCTATCTAGTAATATAAATATCATTTAAAAATACCTAGTGGTTGCTGAAATATAAGGGAATAATCATCTCTATCATAGGTTGGTATGAAAGTGGTGTAGAGATATATATATAAGGGCACTAAGGTCTGATAACTACTATACCTTTTAAATAATTTTTAACCACCACCCATTCAACCCTATAGATATTGAATTGATATTTCTAATATAGATTAGAATGGTCATAAATACCATATATTTCATATAAAAATGATAATTTTATATAAGCATGCGTGATAGGCCCTATAGATAGGGGCCCCAGGGGCCCCTGGGGGGAATAGTAAGGTTAAAATAGTTAAAATTTGCGGTTTAACCAACCCAAAACCAACCTGAATCTAACCATGGTTAGTAAAGATAGGCATAGCTAGGCCTAGCTAGGCCTAGCAGCAGGTTTTTGCAGTGAATCTACAACCAAATTACACTGGGTTTAATTTAGTTGTAAGTTCTAAATTTTCAACCTAAAACCACAGTAGTTCAGTGCTACCTAAGGTTGAACTCACCTGAACTCGCACCAAATGCAACTCTAGGTATGTGAATGGTCAACAAGATCATATGATGAGGTTGATTATTACATTAATTACTATAAGGTCATATGACTACTAGTGTCCTTATTAGACCTGAGTTTGCTAGTACCTAAGGCAGATTATGAGTGCTTAGCAAGCTTAAGTATTTAATAGGCCCTGCCTGCTACACTACCCCCCCTCTTAAATTAGGGCTGGTGTACTTCCTAAGTATTAAGTGCTGCTATATTAATAAAGTTAATAGCTAGCTCCTATATAGGCTACTTATAGCCTACCTATTTAATAAGGTACTCTTTCTAGTAGCCTTTACTAACCCTTTTCTTATACTCTTATAAGATCTCCTTAACTAGATATTTAGCTTCACCATTAACTAATATAGCTAGCAGCTGATAGTTACTATTTAACTAACTTAGGAATAGATTATTAGTGTCCTAGGTAACCTATATAGCTATATTTATTATATATTTATTAGAGGAAGTCCTTCCTAAAAGGAATCTCTAGGTATAGTGCCTCCCCAAGATCTGTAAGATATAGTAGCTAATTATATATTATTATTATTTAGTGCAGACTATCCTTAGCAGGCCTCTGTTAATAGCTTAGTATAATATATAAGGATTCTATATATAGCTAGAAATCCTTTACTATTTCTTTAATTAACTTATATAACTATTCATCTATTAGCAGCTTATATAATTTTAGATAGTCTATTATAGCTAGATATTAGTCTTCCTTAGTTATATTTTATAAACTTTAGAGCTATTTCTTCCCAGCTATCTCCTATATATTAATAGCATTAAGTATATATATTAGTCTTTCTACTTTATTTACAGGCCCTGCTTCTATGAAATCTAGTCTATAGTTAATTATATCTAGTATAATAGCCTTGCTACCCTTATAATACTTAATATTAAGGTTATATATTTGGAATTCCTTAACCTAGTAGGTAAGATATTTAGAATATTTTTTTATAGTTATAAGGTACTGCAGGCTCTTATAGTCTATAATAATTATAATTAGCTTTCTATTATCTATATAGTAGTCCTATTAATATAGAGCTTTCTTTATTACTAGTAGCTTCTTTTCCTATATTAGGTAATTTTATTCTACTATATTAAGCTTCCTCCTATTAAAAGTAATTAGGTGCTACTTACTATTATTATCTTATTATATAAGTATAATACTAATAGCCTACTTAGAGGTATTAGTCTTAATTTAATATAATTTTATAGGGTTTATAATTATTAGGACTAGTTTACTTATTATTATCTTCTTAAGCTTAATAAATACAGCCTAATACTATATAGTCTAATTAATAGGATAGAATTTCTTCTTATATAAGTACTTATCTATTTCCTTAAGTAGCTTATAAAGTGTAGCAGCTATATTAGTAAAGCTATATATAAATTTTTAATAATATATATATAATCTAAGGAACTATTAGACCTTATAGATATTTATTAGCTTTAGCTAGCTATTAATAGTATTAACCTTAATAGGTATTAGCTATACCTTTCTATTACTAATAATATAGCTATAAAATTTAATTTCCTCTCTTCTAAATTTATATTTAGATCTCTTTATAAATAACTTATTATTATAGAGTTATTCTAATATCTAGTAAATATAATCTTTATATTCTTTCTCTAAGTTTAAGAAGATTAAGATATTATTAAGGTATATAATAATAAAAGGTAAGTCTTATAACTTATTATTTATATATATCTAGAATATCACAGAGGCATTATAAAGTCTAAAAGATATTATAAGGAATTTATATTTACTAAATAAGGTATTAAATACTATCTTTAGAACTAATAATTCTTCTATACAGAGCTACTAATAACCTAATAGAAGGTTAATCTTTAATAGCACCTTTAATTTCCTAATATAGTTAAGTAGTTCCTAGATATATAGTAATAGGTAGGTATTCTTTATAGTTAACTTATTTAGTAAGTAATAATTAATATATATTTACTACTTCTCTCCTAATTTTAGAATAATTATAATAGGAAATCCTTACTTACTAGAAGAGGGTTAAATAACTCCCTTCTATAGAAGTTTAATAACCTATTATTATATCTCCTTAAACTTCTCTAGAGATTATAGATAAGTATTAATATTAACTAGTTTTATATTACCTATATTAATCTTATATATAATCTCCCTCTTAGGAGGGAGTCTAGGAGAAAGCTCTTTATAGAAGATATTAATAAACTTATTAATAATAGCTTATAATTAAGGATTTATTATATAAAGGCATTCTTTCTTCTCTACTTTAACTCCTTATAGGAAGAAAAGCTAGGCTAGCTATCTCTTTCTATAGAGCTTATAAATAGCTTACTTTATAGATATAAGGAATACTAATACTTCCTTATTAGCCTTAATCTTAGGCTAGAGATTAATAGAAAAGATTTTATACTATTAAGTTTTATTCTTTAGTATTATCCACCCTAAGCACTAGTTAATTAATAGGTTAAACTATTATAGCTAGTCTCTTCTAAGGATGATATTATATTTATAGGTATCTAGAATCTATAGATAGATAATATAGGTCTAATTACTAATTTATAAGGGAATCTATATCTAGTATTAGGTATCTATAAACTTACTATTTAGAAGCTTTACCTTTAGGGCCTTACTTATATATTATTTTTAAGACTATTCTACTAGCAGTATCTTAACTATTTATTCTAAGATAAAGATATAGCTAGCCCTATAGTTAGCTAGAGTCTTAACTTATTATAATATCTATAGTACTTTAATCCTTATAGAATAGTATATAGCATCTATACTAAGTATATTAAGCTAGGCTAGTATAATCTCCTTATTAACTAGCTCTTTATTATTACTTTTAGATTCTTCTTATAATCCTAGTATCTCTTCCTCTCTTTTACTTACAGGATTTAATAGATCTAGAAGATCCTATTCTTCTACTTTAGAAGCCTCTAATAGCTAACTAACTAATACTTTTATATCTAGTAGTTACTCCTTTTTCCCTTAGAGTTCTTCCTATCCTTATTATTCTTCTTACTTTTAGGGCATAGGTATATATGCATGGTATTACTATATTTAAAATAAGCTTTATATTAGTAGTACTAGGCCTTCTATACTAGTATATTCTTCTTTAGTTAATCTAGT